CATTGGATCTCCAAGCTGAGCAGTCACGGGAGGCTCCCTGAGGAACCAGGTGGCCCTGGAACCCACGGTCAGCACGGAGGCGTTGCTGGCCCCAGGAACCTGTCAGCTGCTGGCTGGCTGAGCCCAGGTCTGCAATCAGGCCTCTTCAAGCAGCCCACGGAGCTGCACCTGCAGTGGGGCCCGTGGCATCCCCACTGAGAGGAGATAACAGACACCCCTGTGCCACTGGCATGGGAGGGTACCTACTGCGCACCAGCAGCCACAGAGCAAGGCCCGACAGACCCAGGCTCTTCTTGCACCGTGCCTTCATTCCTCCTCACGGTGGTCCTGGCATTAAATGCCATGACCATCCCATCTTATAGATGAAGAAACTAAGGCCCAGAGCAGAGAAATGACTTATCTAAGGCACATCAAAAAGCTGACGGTGACAGTGAACACCAGGTCTCCGGCCCCAGACCCTGACTGTACCTGTAACTATGGACAGGGAACAGCCCTTTGGTGACAACAGGAGAGCCTTTGTAGAGCACCAGAACCAAAGGGCAACATTCCCCTCACCACATGCAGGCTCCCCTTCATATCGCAGCTCACCCTGGCATGGGCCTCAAAATGAAGCTAGTCCAGGCCACCATGGCTGCTGTCACGTGGTAGCCACGTGTCAGGTGAAGGCCTCCTCCAAGTTCAGCATGGAGCAAAGACCCCAGACTCACAGGCCAGTGAGCTCCTTAGGAACAGCCCGTTAAGGGCCCCTGGGTGGCTCAGTTAGTTGAGCATCTGCCTTCTGCTTGGATCATGATCTAAGAGTCCTGGGATCAATCCCCACACTGGGCTCCCTGCTCAGCGGGGAGTCTGCTCCTCCCTCTCCTTCTACCCTTCCCCCCGGCTATGCTCACTCGCTCGCTCCCTCTCTCACAAATAAAATCTTACCGGAAAAAAAAAAATCTAAACAGGTCATTAGGTCCAGCCTGGTGACATCCACAGGCCACCTGGGGGAAAGTCTATTCAGTGGCATTGAGCATATTTGGACCCATCTGAGTAGGAGCTTTCTTTGCAAATGGCCAAGAAATGACTTCTTTACCACCCAGGGACTACATGCAGCCACCCAGCTGCCTCCCTCTGTCTGACATGCTTTGTGACAATCACTGATTTCTCACCGTTGGGCAGTTAAGATTCCCACCATTGCCCAAGCTTCTGATGGGAATCATCTGTTCTGCATTATTTATATAAATGAATGTGCAGACAAACCCCAGACTCCTAGAAAGTGCTGTCTTGCTGGTGAACAGGCCCTGGAGAGAGCTGGTGGGCATCAGAGCCCCAGGCTGGCACTGCTGGCAGCTGCTAGTGGGTGTGCTTCCTCCTGGGTGAAGCACCCATGACCACTGCATCACTGGCAGCTGGAGCAGTAAAGGCGGGGAGCGCTTCTTGCTGGAAGAGAACACCTGGTTGGTAGACACCGGACTCTTAGCCGAGCCCTGGGATCAGCCTGTCCAGGCCTCCATCTCCACATGCGTGAAATAGGTAGCCCCCCTGCTTGCAGCACAGCCGTGGCGTGCAGGCTTCTCAGATTCTGGATCCAAGAGGAATGTTTGTGTCTGGCTAACGGAAGTTTCACAGCATAAGGGAGTGATCCGCTAGCAATGATTCCACAGTTACTGCTGGCTGCATTTGCCCTGGGAGCCCAGCAGCCCAGCTGGACCACACGAGGATGGTGCCCAGTCCTGTCTCAACACCTCTGGGGCCACCAGCAGCAGCTCTGACCCACGACACCAAGTGGGCAGGGTCACAAGGGAAGTGGGTGGCAGGGGGAGACGAATGACGCATAGTTGGTGTCCAGGCTGTACACCGCCACCAAGGGCCAGGGGGGGATGCCAGGGGAGGCCCTAGAGGCCAGACTGGGGGACTGGGAGCATAGAGCCAGACATGTGCTGTAGGCAAGTGAACAGGAATATGGGGCGGAAGAAGTCACTGGAGCTTCTAGGAAGAAGAGGCCTTTAGCGAGGCCACAGAGGGTGTGCGGAGTGTAGAGAGAGGAGGAGGGAGGCCCCGTGGCACTCATCCCTCCCATACTCACACTCGTGTGTGCTTCACAGTTTCCAGAGTGATAGCCCAAAATAGCACGTTCCTTCCAGGTGCCAGGACACGGCTCTGCCCACTTGGGATGGAATGCAGGAGTGCACGTGCCGCAGTGACAGCACCGTGGGCACCGAGGCAAAGGGCCCCACCCTGCCCACGCATCACCTCCTGGGCTTGGCTCCTCCTCAGCAGAGGGGCCTCATGTGCAGTTACAGGGGACCCTGGCACAGTGGCACCCCATGTGGGCCATGAGCACCCAGGGAGCAGTAGGGGATGACAGGTGGAGTACAGCATCTAGCCCAGGGCTTCTCGAGCTCCAGTGCTTACGTGTGTTTCTGCAAGTTGGCACCTGGTCAGTGTGTCCCACAGTCTGCTGAATCCTGCCTGGCAGGGCCCATGCAGGCAGGATGTCTACACAGATAGAGGTCTTGTGGTGATTCTTTGATGCTCATCATCTCCCAGATGTGTAAATAGTGGCCAGTGTGGTTACACATGCTTTGTCCCAAGGAAGAGAGAGAAGCCAGGCCCCAAAAGCCACGAGCCAGAAAAGCAAAAGGAGCCCAGGAGCGGGCAAGGGCCCCACGATGAGGGAGACTCCTGCTAGGCCGTAGCCATCGTATGAGTGTTTGCAAGACACTGCCAAGGACATGGCTGCCGTGTAAGGAAAGTGCCTGAGTTCCCAGGCTTCCGTAAGGAACGTGAGGCTCAGAGAGATGTCTAGGGTCCAGAAAGCCTGCCAAGAGCTGTCTGTGGGGCGGAGGTTCACACGAGACAGGAAGGACAACCCCAGGGTGTGTGCTGAGCAGCTGAGATGGCCGCGGGGAAGGAGGGGCCGCGTGGCCTGTTGGCTGCTCCAGTGCCACACGGGGCCTGCCCTCAAAGGACTGACCAGCAGAGGCCTTCGTGCGAGCACTGGCTGGCACACAGGCACTGTGTCAGCCTGTGGAGGATGCCTTCCTGCCACTCTACTTCCAGACTCCACAGCCTGTCCAGAGCTGCTGGCTTGGACCAGGTATAAGAGCCACCCTGGCTCTCCCCCCGAGTGGCCCAGCAGATACCCATTCTAGGACCCTGGCCACGCCCTGTCTCCTCTGCCTGGCTCCCACGCTGTGAACTCCCAGCCCTGGGCACTGGCCTGCTGGTGCCCACCTTCCTGCTGATGGCCAACCCATCCCCCTCTTCTGAGTCCTGGGCCCCTGGCATGAGAGCTGGGACCTGTCACTGGCCCTTAGGGCATGCTCAGCAAGCATTTGCTCAATGAATTAATGCATGCGTGCTAATAACCGCATCTGTTATTTATCTGATGTGAAATTTGGGGTCAGAAGCACAGCCCCTGATTATGACATCATTCCTAAGAGAATTGATAGCTCTGTTAGGCTTTACAGTGTGGCTTCCAGGAATCCATTAGAGCTAATTACTCTCCAGTAGAATGTGACATTCCTAGACCACCACTTATCTCACATTTGGGAACATTGTGTGGCTCCTCCAGGCCCTACTGGGGATGGGGATCCTGCATCTTATTTCCATAGAAAGGTCACTCCCCTCCCTTCCCTCAAGACCTGAAACCACTCACTCTCCAGAGTTTCTGATACTCCTGAGCTCAGTCTAAACAAGGCACACTGGTTTTGGAAAACATGCTCTCCAAGGTGCTACACGGAATCTCAGGGCAGCTTCTTGGACAGGTACCCCCAAGCATCCTCTCCACCACGTAACCTGGTTCCTTCTCCGCACTGATGCTGTTAGACTGTGTACCTAAGACAATTCGGGATCTCCAGGAGAGCAGGGTTTCACTGAGGCATCCTCCTGTACACTCCCACCTGGGGTGACCTCACTTAGGCCAACAGTGCTGTCCATCCACACTGCAGGGAGCCTGAGCTCCTGGTTGTGGAACTTGGAGCACATTTCCTGCCTCTCCAAGTCTCAGTTACTTCATCTGTAAAATGGGACTAGGAAGGTGAAAGGTTTGAACAAGCTGGCGTGCCACGGCCACATCATATGCACCAGCTGCAGCTTCCTTCGTCATTATCACATGACTGGTGATATTATCTGGTCAGAGTCCTTAAATCCGCCTCAGATCTAAACTAAACTAGCTCTGAGCTTTGTTTGGACATTTGGCTCGTGCATTTTATTTTAAAATGGCAGCTTTTGCCATAGTAACTCAGCAGCAGTCCTTTTAGAAGCTAGAGTTGTCAGTCCTCTGTGGAAATGGTGGGCTTGGGAGTCAGAAGCGTTATGTTCCTTAAAAACTCAGTCACTACAACCCATTTAAGGTCCTCTGAAAGAAGGGGTGTGAATAAAGGGCAGTGCCACTGGGGTCTCTGAGCCTCCTGGGCTGCTGTCCTCACTTGAGCCCAGTGGCGTGGCAGGGGCAGGGGGGTCCAGGCCTTCCTCAACTCTCCGGACTGGAGCCTTGGGCCTTGGAAGCGCAGAGATCGGGCTGAGGACTGACGGTACTGGGTGACAGGACCGAGCCTTGGAGGACAGGACGACGCCCAAGAGGGCCAGACTTGCCGGCGGGGCAGGAGCCTGGCCACACTCACGTAGAGAGAGACGTGATGTGATGGCAGCTCCAGGCCCGAGCTAGCACAGGACAGTAGGAGATGGGGCCCTCCGCGTGAGTATGGAGTTGCACAGGTCCCTACAGCGGGGGGGAGGCCATGCAGCAGCCCCATGCCACAAAGGAGGGTCCAGCTAAGTGGGACAGCCCCTTACAAACAGGTGTCAAGGTGCCGAGGGCGGTGCCAGCAACTTTAGGGGGCTCAAGAGCCCAGGGGACGCAGGTGAAGACAGACCTGGCCTGGCAGAGAAGGACTGCCCGGCAGAAGGGTACTAGGGGGACCCTCCGGGGGGCCTTCTCCCGGGAGGGCTGCGGGCCTGGGGCCTTCCCACACTGCACCCCCTGATTAACACCGGAATTGTCCTGCCCGCAGAGTCGAATGGCAGAGAGCCTGCGCCTCTTTGACTCCATCTGTAACAACAACTGGTTCATCAACACTTCGCTCATCCTCTTCCTGAACAAGAAGGACCTGCTGGCGGAGAAGATCCGCCGCATTCCGCTCACCATCTGCTTCCCTGAGTACAAGGGCCAGAACACGTACGAGGAGGCCGCTGTCTACATCCAGCGGCAGTTCGAGGACCTGAACCGCAACAAGGAGACCAAGGAGATCTACTCCCACTTCACCTGTGCCACCGACACCAGTAACATCCAGTTCGTTTTTGACGCGGTGACAGACGTCATCATACAGAACAATCTCAAGTACATAGGCCTTTGCTGAGGAGCCGGGCTGGCCGGCTGGCCTGTGGCGAAACCCCCGGGGTGTCACACCCCCCTCGCGCTAGGGAGACCCAGCCCAGGGGCAGAAGACGGGGGGCCTGAGAAATGGCCCCCCGTTCCCGCAAACATAAATATATATGGATAGATTGCTAGGTAGGTAGACACACACACGCGCACACACACGGTCTGGAGATGGCAGTTCCCCGAAGCGCTGGAGCCTCTAGAAGACTTCGGCCGCTGTCACCAGGTTCACTACAGGCCCTTCCTGCCCCGTCACCTTGCCTTCCTGAGTCGGCCCTGCTCTGCATGGGGGTCCCCATGGGACTCTTAGGAGAGGCGGCTGGGTCATCCGGAGGAAGCCGGCTGTGCCCAAGCGTCGGACTGGGGACCTTGCTGCTGACCCAGAGGGAGGACCGGAGCAGGGTCCATGCGCCTTCCCCGCTGGCCCGCCCTGTACCACGGCTGTTCTGGAACCCGGGTGCAAGGCCAGACGACAGCACTAACCAGACCTCTAGCCACTCACAGCTCTTTTTAAACAGCTTCAAAATATGCAGCAAAAATCCACACAATAACACGAGTGGCACCATTTGTCTCAAACTAGGCCAGCTGGGTTCCAGCTTTTCTTCTACTAGTCTGATGTTTTATAAATCAAAACCTGGTTTTTTCTTCTCTGACATCCTTTTTTTTGGCCAAATCTCGTGGTGTTTCGCAGAAATACAGAAAATTTCAAATGCAGTTGAGTATTCTTTTTTAAAATGCAGATTTTCAAAACCTATGGTTTTTTTTCAGGTGGTCCTTTTTTGTGTCTGGCTTGCTGAGTGTAAAAGTTGTTATCTGAATGAGTCTGTCCCTCTGCTCCTGAGCGACACTGGGGTGGACAGCCGCCCTACGGCAGCGTCGCAGGGCCGCGTTGTACATAAGCCCGTGCAGTGTCCTCTTGTTACGGTGCGGTTTCTGCTTTGTTTTTATTTCAGAAAAATAAATGTGATGTATTTAAAGAAGGTTCTTCACCTAGGAGCGAATGAACAATAGCTAAATGTCTTGGTATCTAAAGAGTAAATTATCCGTGGCTTTGCAAGTGGAGGAAAGGGGGAGCAAGAGATGGGGCCCCGGCCCCCACATGCCCTACACCTGAGACGGGCTGAGAGCCACGACAATTCCTGTGAAGGCTCAGCCGGCGCAGCCTGAGGGAGGCCCTGCTGGGACCTCGCACTCTGGCCCTTCCTGTCCCAGGGCCTGTGGCACCCGCCACCACTGAAGGACCTTGGCCCAGGGCCGCATGTAAATATGAACCCCCGCCGTCAAGAGGGAAGGCACCGCCAGAGCCCTTGCCAAATCTCCTTTGCCCTCAGCCTCTGTTCGGTACCTGTATGTCCAAGGTCAGTGCGTGGAATCACAGCCAAGGACTTTAAGAGATGCACGGAGGGAAAGAGGAGCTGGTGATTGTATGAAAGTTAAAGATTGTCTACTTTAAGAAAATAAAATATCCTGAATGAGCTAAGCTTTGTCCTGGCGTGCTGTGTGTGCGGCTGGCCTGTGAGAGCGTGCCCGGAGACACACTGTATGCCCAGCTTGCTTTCTCTCCCCCAATCCACACATTCATGCAGAATCACTTGGAAATAACCATCAAGAATAAACAACCTCAAGCAAAGAAAGAAACTGCAAGAGATGGGGGCCCTGTCTGGCCCATGTGTCTAGAGAGGCTGAGGTTTGGGGGTGATGATGGCTGCGAGACCCCTACCCAGTACTGGCCCAGGCTGCACTGTCACCCAGACCCCTCACACCCCAAGACACCTCTGCCAGGACGCTAGAGGTGGAGAGCCTGGAGGGTGCTGCAGGATGTGGGGAGGAGGGGTATCCCACTGTCCTGTCTGCTGACTCTGGCTTGTGGGGTTAGAGGCATTTCCATGTGGTGGAAAGCACTACTGAATAGTTCAGCAAGTTTGTTCAGCCCGCATCGGGCTCCTTACAGATTGTTTGAATACCTCTACCGCAGCAGGGTGTCAGCTGTGACCCGTTTTACAGACGAGGAAAGGTGCCCAAGGTCCAGGTCAGGGACTGGTGGGGCAGAGAGGCAAGTGCATCCGGAAGCCTGGGGTTCTTGCCTGGCTGGCTCTGATGCTGATCACCCTGCCCCCAGACAGGATCCCACGGGGACCACAGAGCCACCCTGCACCTCCTCCTCGAATCCAGGGCCCACATAGAGCCCCGAGTGAGGACCAGCAGGTGGAGACACACCCGCGTGCACGCACGCGAATACACATCACAGAGACACACATCCAGATTGGGCTCTCTCCCTCCCCCACCCCTGAGCCCTCGTGGGGATTCCCTTCACGCCTTCCCACATCACCAAACAGCAAAAATCCAAGGGGACTTTTGTATAAGAAGAAATAGCGTGTGACTTAAAATCTTTGAGACTTATTTTACGCTTTTAATGCCAACTGTGAAAAGAGCAGTAATTTCACCATGAGCATCCTTCACCTAAAAATACACAGCTAGGAGGAAAATAGGAAGACTGTGCCTTCTCTCCTGATGTGCTCAGGGATGGGAGGTGCTTTCCCAGGCCAGTGCTCCGGTGCCCAGAGCCCAGTCAGCCAACTTCCAGGGCCCTGCTCTCCACTGCAACCTGTCTGTACGGCTTTTTTTTTTTCTTTTAAACTTATTCTGTGAATTACTACATGAACCACCCCTCCTTGCCTCATTTCCCTGACAACTCTGATAGCCATGTTTCCTGTATTCTCTTCTTCCATAACATGATGCGTTCAGTGTTTTATTTTTCATTTCGTATGTTGCCTATTTTTATTGAAGTATAATTGACATACAATCCTGTCAGTTTCAGGTATATCTCAGAGTGATTCAGTATTTTCATATATGCTATGAAATGAGACCCACGATAAGTCTGGTCACCTGCTGTGCTGGTTCTTCCTCTCTGGGCCTGCTGCATCCTGCTTTTGCCTTGCTAATCACACTGACATGCTTTTTCCCATTCCCACAGTCCAAGACTGTCTATCTCTCAGGGCTCAGCCCGCTGCATGTTGGATGTCCCCTCCCTCCCACACTCCTCTGCATAAAGCACCCATGCCAGGGCGAGGTGGGAAGGGGACCTGGCACAGTCTGACCCACTTTCTCCCTCCACTGTACCCAAATAGTGCCCAGTGTGGAGAAGGCACCTGCTAACCTAAAAGTCCAGGAAAGGTTCACCTATGGTGGCATCAGCCAGAGGAAAATGAGCTGTGGGACCAGCAGCAGAGGGACAAGTGAGAGGAGACCAGATTTGGCGGGAGCGCGATCCTAAGGGGAGAGGCTCTACCCTGTGCAGGAGGAGCTGGCCCAGCCTCACCCTCTGCACATGACTGACCACAGCCAGGTCCTGCTATGTGGCCCAAGACTCCCTCTCATAGGGCACACCACCGTGTGGGCTCCAGGGTATTGCCACCAGTCCCTGTAGCTCTTGTGGTCACCTGGGATGGAGCGATGGCTCAGTGACAATAATCCCAGCTTGCCTCGGCGACTGCTCACCACATGGCCCTAGACTTAACCTGGTACACACTTGTCTGATTCGACCCTCCCCGACTCCTGGGAAGCCAAGATTACTGGCTCTGTTTTATTGAGGAGAAAGCAGAGACCCAGAGGGGAGATGACTTCCCAGCATCACATGGTGTAACAAGTGGCCCGACCAGGCCTGGGTCTATCTTCCCTGGAGCCCATGCAAGGCCCTGGCCATCTAAGACAAAGGGGCAGGAGGTACAGGTCTGCTGACTCCGGGGCAAGTGCTGGAGAGGGCCGTGGTCCACCATGAGGACAAGGGGACCCCACCAAGGCTGGACAACAACTGGGGCACTGGCCTCACTAAAAGGTGAGCTGGGCGAGGGGCTTCAGTACTGAGGTAGGTGAGGCCAGGCACCAGCTGCTTCTGCCAAGAGCATGCCCAGAAAGATTTGATCTTTGTGTAACAAGCTATCCCAAACCTCCTGGGAATATGAAAACCTTGTGGAGGGGCTCTTGGTGGCTCAGTCGGTTTACCGTCTGCCTTCGGCTCAGGTCATGATCTCAGGATCCTGGGATACTGTAGCCCGAGTCGAGCTCCCTGCTCCGCAGGGAGTCTGCTTCTCCCTTTCCCTCTGCCGCTCCCCCTGCCCATGTGTACATGTGCACCTGTTCTATCTCAAATAAATAAAATACAAAAACCACATAGAGCTGAGAAAGACTGCCTGCCCCAAGAGAGCCCACGAGAATAGCTGCTGGGACTGTGGCCCACCTTCATTGGGCCAGACAGGAAAAGGCTCTTCTGGCTGGAGCAGGCCACTGGATGAGGAGGGGGAAAAGGCGAGGGGGTATCTAAAGCAGGTGCACCAGGCTGGGAACCAACTGGGCAGTGCCACTGTTGGTGGGCATTGTCCTTTGCTGAGTCTAGGAAGGGGACAACTGCCCACCACAGACAGGCTGAGGACAGGACATGTGTGGGGCCTGCTGTACCCAATCCTGAAGGCAGGTGAGCAAGGACAGGGCCACCCCTCTGGGGCAGCCAGCCCCATCCCTGCACTCTGTGGTGTCAGAGCCAGGAGGAGCAGGGGGTTGCTCTGGGCAACCCCACACACAGCCCCCAAAGGGTAGAGGGGTGCAGCAGCTTTCTTGCTCAAGGCTGCCTGGCTGAGGCACCTTGCAAAGGGGCAGAGCACCTTGATTTGCTCCTCCCGCAGCCCCTCCCTCTAGGCTTCTGCTCCTCCCACTGCTTCAGCTTCCATGTCCCCCACACCTCAAATTTACCAGGATCAGAACTGTACCTGACATCAGGCCTGGTAATGCCTGTCCCTCCCCAGGCCCACGCTGCTCCTTTCTGAGTCTGAGGAGCCCATCCCCATAGGAGAGGCCTGAGCACAGCCTCTCTGCCTCCCTCTCCACTCCCTGGCCAGTGCCCTCCTGTGGGCAGGGAGGGGCACCTGTTTTGACCCCCATGGCCCAACCCAAGCCAGGCTGCACATAGGATGTAGGAGACAGAGTGGTCCCTGCACCGTGCTGCTGCCATAGCTCAGTGCAAACTCACAGGTGCCCCAAGTCATCCTGGTTCCAGGCCACAGTCTGAAGGTCCAAGGGGCCTGGCCATGGCCAGTGGGACCCTGATGCTATTCAGCAGCACCCCAAAATCTAGTTCCAGAAGAATCCTCAATGTCGGCACCAGAGTTCTCTCCTGTAATGCCTGGCCACAGAACAAGACCTGTTTCTGTGTGGGGTTAGCAGAAACGAGGGAGCAGGGACACCTGGGTGGTCTGCGGTTGAGCATCTGCCTTGGGCTCAGGGCGTGATCCCGGGGTCCTGGGATGGAGTTCCACATTGGGACCCCACAGGGAGCCTGCTTCTCCCTCTGCCTGTGTCTTCTCTCTGTGTCTTTCATGAATAAATAAAATCTTTTTTAAAAAGAGAAACAAGGGAGCAGACAAGAGATTCTCCCAGAATTCCCAGCAGTCGCCCAGCTGACAGGGACCCTGGGCGGGAGGCTTCTGCATGGCGATTGCCTCTACAATCCTGGTTTCTGGTCCCCTGACTAGCAGCACCCCGGGGGGCCTGAGAGTAGAGCCAGGCCCTGCCAGGCAGTCATCGGTCCTGTGGCACCCCCTGCTGGTCACTCTGGGAAACCACACAGCCGGCCCCAGCGGGCCGGGGCAAGGATTTAGAGGGAAGACCTCTGTTCCCCTACAGGTACCGCATACTACAGACAAGCAATTGAGGCACAGTGGCTGGAACAGATCAAGGGCCTCACATGAAGCTGTCGAATTAATGAAGGACGGATGGAGTGGATTGCCACAAATAACTAACAAACGATGCTTTAAAATATGGCATAAAGCTGGCTAACTCTAATATTTCTTTTGAGTGCCAGGCACTGTGCCAGGTGCAGAGGCTGACTTCTGGTGTGGCAGTGGGTAGAAAGCCCATTCTAATGACCATCAGTAGGTGAGCCAGCTGAGTCCAGACTATGCCAGGCCCACAGGCACACGTACTGCGGTGCTCCATGATGAAGCCAAGGCTCCGACCCAAGGTCACACGCTGGTTAAAAGCACAGCCACTGAAGTAAATGCACTCACCCCACTCAGAGGTCCAGCAAGGAGACCCCCTGGGACCCAGCCACACTGACCAACCCAGAAGCCACAATGCTCAGAGTCCCCCCCAGGGGGACTTCTTGGGGGCATCCGCCACACCGTATGTCTCCCTCTCTCCCTCCAGCTGCCACCCCCTTTCCCAGCCCTGCCATCACCCCCACTGCTGCACATCACTCACCCGAGTGTCCCTGGCCTCCCCTCCCGTCACACCACAGACAATGAGCAGCACCCGAGAAATCCTGTGATAGAAGGTGTGGCTCACCACTAGGGAGCTTTGTCAGAACCATGTACCCCCCTACCCCTTGTGATGCACCCCGTGCTTATGGATTCCAGAACAATTCTGCAGGAAGGAGATAGGACCCTCCCCACCAGAACACAGATGACTGTAGAGCTTTTATTTTTTTTATTTTTTTATTTTTTTTCTGTAGAGCTTTTATAACTAAGACAGTGTCAGCCTGGCAAGGGCCAGACAGGGAGAACTACAAACAAACAAAAATCCAGGCCAGGTACCTCCACCAGCTAAATGTGAAAAGCGAGACTCTTACACTTTTTTTTTTCTTTAACCCAGGCTTTATTTGTATTTCTTTGCTTTCACATAAATTTTCCTCAACATGTTATTACAAGGTTGATAAAGCTGAAAGAATGACACAGCAAACATTCATGTCTACAACCTAAATTCTACATTTTTGTTTATCTGCCATGGATTCAACATTTTTAATGCACTTCAACTTTCAGAATATTTTACCTCTGAACACCTCATGTATATTATCAAAAGGCATTTACTTGTTTAGCTTCAGTTAAAATTCATATACAGTGCAATACATTTGAAATACATAGTAAGAAACTTGAAGGCCTATGTAACTCAGACTCCATTTGTATTTCTGTTGTGACTAATGATTTTGAGCATTTTTCATGTCCTCATTGGCTGTTCCTATAGCTTTGTCAAGTTTCCATTAGAATGTTTGGCTGAGTTTTTATTGAGTCTGGAGTTTGAGAATTCTTTATTCTGGACATTAGTCCTTTGTCAGGCATGTTTTAACATGTCAGGCATGTAATTTCTCCTAGTTTATGCCATACTTTGTTTTCTTAAAAATATTCTCATCGGAAGAAATTTTGATGTATTCTAATTTGTTTTTTTTTTTTTAATGCTATTTCATTGTGTTGTCCTTACTTATTTATTTGGGTCTTTTTTTAATTCAGTTTGTCAACATGTAGTATAACACCCAGTGCTCATCCCATCAAGTGCCCTCCTCAGTGTCTGTCACCCAGCTACCCCATCCCCCACCCACCTCCCCTTCTGCAACCCTTTGTTTACCAGAATTAGGAGTCTCTCATGGTTTGTCTCCCTAATTTTTCCCACTCAGTTCCCCTCCTTTCCCTTGTAATTCCTCTTAGACTTTTAGAACAAAATAACGCAGAATATCTTCATGAGCTCTTAAGCAGCTCCAAATACACATACACACACACACACACACACACACACACACTACATTCAGTTGAAAAACTACTGGGCTAATGAATAAACAAATAAACAGTGAAAAGCCACACAACAAGCCAGAAAATGGTATTTGCGATGTGTGTGGCCAACAAACGATTGGAATCCAGGATGAATGAAACACTCTCTCAAATCAATAAGAAACGGAAAAAACAACTCAAAAGAATATGCTCAGGTTCCTGGGAGGCACTGGGCAGGAGAGGGGAGGTGGGGGCCTCTCCCAGTCACAGGGGATGGCAAAGCCACCCAACAGCGAAACAGCACAGCACACACCACCAGGTTGCTGGTGAGGATGTGCAAGGGGCTCTCTACGGGGGGAGGAGGGTGGGCTGGGAGGCAACTGCAGTATCCGGCCAAACTGAAGGCCATGCATTCTCTGGCCCCCGAAACGATGCTCTCCTCCAGCAGAGGCCTTGGAGGCACCTGGAAGGACTCCAGGAAAATCTGAGCGGGAACGCTCAGGATCAGAAAGAAGCAGCCTGCCCCATCAGCAGAGCAGGGCTGAGTGCATTGAATGTGAGCGTTACGTTCAAGCTCCAGAAGGGCACGCCACAGTTAAAATAGTAAAACAGAGCTCACGACGCATGGATAAATCTCAAAATTATAACGTTAGGTTCTTTAAGTGGCAAGGGACTTCAAGTGGATAATTCAACAAGATCCATTTGCTTAGAGTTTAAAACATGCAAGGCAAGATCTCTATAAGACTACATTCATGGTCAAATACAAAGACCCGCATTAGAGATATAGTCAGAAATTACTGGTGCCTCCGGGGAGAGCAGGAGAAGGGGTGCTGGGTGGGGAGGGTTCACAGGGTGCTTGGACGGTTATTACTTTTTTAAAAACAAAAATCTCAAGCAAATACAAAACATGGTAGAATGTGAAAACTTAGCAAAGCTCTAATGGTACTTGATGTTTACTATTGTCTCTGTACTTCTTGGAATGGCTTAAACAGGTGGCAATAACAAAAGAGCCGGCTGGGGGCTCCACACCCCAAGGAGGAGAGTTCCTCCGTGGTGGGCGCGGGGCATACATTTTGCTCAGCCCTGAGCCCTGGGACTTCACCAATACCCACTGCCTCAGTGGCCCTCAGTCATGTGGTCTCAAGGGAGAACCAGCCAACGCGTGTTTGAGAAAGATCTGGGCACCTGCTCCCAGAGACAGATTCTGTTGGCCTAGGGCAGGACCGGGGATAAGCGGGTCCTAAGACCACCAAAGGGTTCTGTTTTCTGGCCTAGCATGCTCCCCAACACCCAGCCCGGCCCAGCTGGGAGAAGGTGTGCTTCCCAGACGGGCAGCAGCGCCAGGTCACCAAGGGCTCCGCTCCGTGTGACCTGCCTCTCTGCACCTGAGCCCACAGTCCTCTCTCTCTGGGGTCTCAGCTTAGGGAGTGCTTACACGTGGACTGGAGCATTTATGGCGTGTGTCATGCAGGGCAATACCCTACATGCTTGGCAAGGATCTTCTCACTCACCCTCACTTTCGGCCTCTGAGGCAGGTAGTATCAGCCTTGCTTCAGAGATGAGGAAATAACCCATCCAAGGGCATGCAAAGAACCAGGGGAAGGGCAGGGGAAACCCAGGGCTGTCTCACTCCTGGGCTGCAATGCCTTTTGTCCACCTTCTACTTAAGGCACCTCCTTTAAGGCCTTGATATCATGCCTCTCGGGGTGAGCCCTCTGTTTAAAAATGTTCACTGCAAAAAATAAAAAATAAAAATAAATAAAAATGTTCACTGTACCACGTGACAGGGCGGATGTGAGTCTGACACAAATCTCAACCCTCTAGCTACGGTGGGCGGGTGGCTGTCACCCTGGACTCTGCATCTAATCAGCAGGAGCACCCAGCTGAGGGGGACCTCAAGCCTGAGAGAAGAGTGGACTTTGGGGCAGGCCTTCTTTCGTCCCTAAACATGCTACGGCACACTTCCCAAAAGATGACATTTACCCGGCTATAGCCATTAGGGAAACACAAATTAAAACCAAAATGAGACACTACCACACACCCACCCACCCAAATAACGAAAATAAAGAGCCAGGAATGATCGAGTGTGGGTTGAAGACTGGGAGCATGTGGAATTCTAAGACACTGATGGTGGGAGTGTAAGTTGGTATAACTATTTTAGAGAACCATTGGTGGTACCTTCTAAAGCTGAACATAAACTTGTCCTATCCCCGGCAATTCCCCTCCTAGGTACGTCTCAAAAGAAATGCATCTATACATCCAACAAAAGACACTCAAAAGAATGTTTATAGATACCCTATTCTCGGTAGCCATACACTAGAAACAATCCAAATGTCCATTGGCAACAAAGTAGACAAAGAAACTGTAGTATATTCATATAATGTGAATACTGTACCCCAGTGCAAACCAGCAAAAAAAAAAAATCATATATGGATCTCAGAGGCAAAACATCAAGCAAAAAGAAAGCCAGAAACCAGATATTACAGACTGTACGTTTCCACTAAAGTAAAGCTTAAGAAGAGGCATAAAATAATCCGTAGTCTTATAAAGAAAAGACAGTTTACCTTTGGGTCAGAGGTAGTCACTGGGGTGGGGCACGTGGGAAGTCTTTACAGTGGTGGTGCTACCCTATAAACCTCTTCATCTGGGTCATGGTGCCACGGCATGTTCGCTTAGTATAATTTAATAAAACGTTAAAAAAATTTAATAAAACGTTCGTGCATTATTTGCTTTTTGATATGTGTATTGTACCTTAGTAAAAAGCATAATTTTTTTTTAAAGCACGCTCTAGACAGCGATCTGCAGCATGGCATGTGAGTGACCTGGAGTGGAGACCAAGGGGCCGCCTGAGTGCCCACGGAGAGCCTACCTGAGGGAAGCTGGGCCACGTGCTTCAATGCCAGGTGCAGGTTCTCTCGACAGGCTGACTGAGGGTCATTCAGCAGGTAGGCCAAGGCAAGGATGACATCATGCTTTAAAAAGCCCTCTCTGGGGAAAAGAATACAGATTTAGATATAATTAAGACCATGCCTGGAGAGAATTCAGTAAGACAAAGAGGAAGTTGTCCACCCAACACTCCTCCTGGGGCTTGAACTGTGCTGGCTGTCACAGGCCACATTCCTCTGGCTTCCAGGGAGAAAAAAAAGATGGGAGGTGGACAATCGAGAGAATCCCTACAGGCATGAGAGCAGTGTGGCCTGGGTGGCGTGGGAAGAACCACACACTGGAATGACACATCTCTGTCCCATCCTTAGCTAGAGCCCTGGATCCTTCTTTCACTCTTGCCTCCTCAGCCCTCTTATCTGTAAACTGAGGATGAGACAGCAGAACCTCACAACTGAACTACCCTGAACTTTGGGGCTCCACCCACCAGGGCACACCCCCACAGAGCTCCAGGCTCTGCAAGCCCTGCCCCTCGAAGCCCCTGCCTCTTCTCCCACCTGAATTGTGAGCCTGCCAACAGCCAGATGCTTGCCTCCAAACCTATGGATGCCTGGTATGCTTGTTGTTATAATTATAGAAGTCAATTAACTATTAGGTAAGCCAATTAGATGTGAGAAGAGATTTTGTTTTATTTTGTTTTCTTATGAAAACAAAATTGATTGCGTTGGGAAGATTCAAAAGTGATTCTCAAAAAAAAAAATGTGAGATGACTGTAAAAGATTCTAGGTTTTTACATGCAGATTACTCCATTAATGTCTTTGAGTTCCCGCTCTATTTGAAAGAAACCAAAGCTGCAAATTAGATGATATTATAGGTGTGGTTTAAGCAAAAGAGATGATGAGAAACACCAACCAGTGGGCCCGCCCCCAAGAAGAGGCCTGGGGGGCAAGCAGGGATTGGTGAATGCCTGATTATTTGTGTTTGGGGTTAAAATGAAGCAGTGTAAAGGGAATGTACAATTTCTTCAGTTAATGGCTTTGTAACTATTTCCTTTGATTAATCGCTGGGCCTGAACACATCTGGTGTAAGGGCTTCTGAGGTCACACCTCTCAGGGCTGGAGTCAGAAAGAAGTGAGAAGGGACATCTGGATGGCTCGGCAGTTGAGCATCCGCCTTTGACTCATGGCATGATCGCAGGGTTCTGGGATCGAGTCCCACATTGGGCTCCCTATGGGAAGCCTGCTTCTCCCTCTGCCTGTGCCTCTCCCTCTCTCTATGTGTCTCTCATGAATAAATAAATAAAATCTTAAAAAGAAAGAAATAAAGAAGTGAGAACTCGGGGTGATGCCCTTGCCCAGTGCCTGGCACATGGAAGTGCCCAGCAAATTGTGCTCTTCCTGTGTTGGCCAGGATTTAACATTCGGTGAGTTCTGAGTCATTCTGGGGCAGGAAAATCATAGCAGGACACCCAGGCTGCAAAGGACTTCCCTGATCCCCCATCTTGAGGTGTCGGCCTCCTCAGTCAGTGCCTGGTCACCCACTCATTCCCTGTCACTCCTGCTTTGTAAGTCTGCTGTGTTTGCTGTGAGGCCATTTGTCCCACTCACAGCAGGCGAGCAAGAGGTGGGCAGGGGGAGCTAGGCTTCCCAGGAGGTTCTTCCGTGTGTGGCCTGTCATGCAAACTGACTCCTCAAGGCTGCTACCCTCATCCCCTCTTCCTGTTGCTACTTGTGTGGGTACAAGAGGCACAAGAGTTTCAACATGAGCAGTTATTTCGAGCCTGACCAACTCCACGAGCTACTGGCTTTAAGTTATAAGATCACCACCGAACTCCAGCAAACTTCAGAAATGGGCCTCTGTTAACTTTCGGCCCTTTGCATTCTTGGTCTATTGTGGTGTGGTGGAGTGGGATGGGGGTGGGGCGGTTCTGGAATCCCCGACCCTGTTCACTTGGTTCTCCTCCCTATGCCTGGTGGTGGCAGTGTGAGGAACAGCGGACACCAGAGGAGTGTGCGGGCCAGGCCATAGCAGGCCCTTGGTCAGTGACAGTTTCTTCACCGCGTGTCCCCCCAGCCCCTGCCAACGTGGCCACATCCAGGAACCCGCCTCTCCCCCCAACCTCCTCCTGCTGCTAAACAAACCTACAGGCACCCCCACTAGGTTCACAGTTCCCTTGTACTTGCCCAAGCTCCAAGCACCCCTCCGCACAGCGTCTATCAGCCCTTGCTGGGGGTGAGTGCTTAATATCCACATCAGGTCCAGAAAGAGAAAAAAGGAGCAGGAAGGATGAGAGGCGCTTCCCTCCTCCATGCTCCTCAGTATTAAAGCACTTTCCATGGGTCTGTCTCAAATAAGCACAGCCAGACTCCACCAAGGTCACAGCAGGAAAGGTTGGTGTCCCTGCTTACCAGGGCTCCTGCACCCCTCCTCTGTCCCCATGCCCTTCCTTCCTTCTGGTGCAAAGCATGTGAATTGGGGCTCTCACTGTAGCATCACTTCCCCATTCGTTCATAGCGACCCATTGGGCCAGGACTGCACATGGTGTGGGTTAACCACATCCCCTTCTGGGAACCTGGAATTAGACCTCAGAGAGGAGTCAAGGAACGGCGAGATCAGGGGGACTGAGGGACTGAGGCCACCATCTGGAGATGGCCCCGAGCAAGTGGGTGTGTGAGTTCATAGACACTATCTGCAGGGAAAAGGAGGCAGCAGAGAGACGAGCACCCGGTGGCCACCCAGGCCGACGTGAGGCAGACGTTTCTGGGCTGAGTGCTGCACATGCATCAACCCGTTTAACTCCTGCCCCCACGAGCAAGTGTGAAGACACTGAGGCACAGAGAGCTTGAGGAGAGGCGGGATTGAGCAACCTTACATTTGGTGAGATGCCCCGATACCCCTGAAAGGATCTCAAGCTTCCATACAGGGGCATGTGTTGTTTACATCACACAAGTTGGAAGCCAATGAGCACCCTGCCCCTCTATTCCTTCTTTCTGAGCAGCAGTCCTTGGGCAGGGCCCCAGGGCTCTTTGTGATTTTCAGTTGTTTTCAATACCAAGTAAAACTGGGGGTCCCAGGTCAAGAGTGTGAACTGAACCGATCTGGGAAAGCACCCCCACCCCCGACATACGTACGTACACACACACACACACACACATGCACACACACACACTGGCAGACAAAAACAGAGTATTCAAGGTCATCCAAGGGTGTTCCACCCAGGGGAGGGATGTGGTTCCAAAGCATGACACTGGTTCCCAGAGACAGCTGCCCACCTGCCCACGTTATGGGTCACCATGATAGAGAGCACCTCGGTGGCCTTTATCCGCACTATGTCATTATTATCCTTCAGCAAAGCTTTCAGGCTCTCCAGGCAGCCTGCAAGGAAGGAACAAGAACCTTTGAACACTGACCAGTCGCAGAAATCAACTAACCCAGAAGTCAAGAGGTGAGGCAATATTGGGCAACAAGAAACTACCAGAAGCTTTGCTGCTTTGGGGCCTTGGGGGATCACATCAGTTGCAAAGTATTTCTGATTCACTAAAGGAGTCTCTGTGTGCTAGAAAGGCTCACACAGGGGACTTTTTTATCTAACCCCCTGCACGCTTCCGACCAATGGCCTTATCTCTCCATCCACTTCAAGATTTTTAAAAATGGCCTTTACATCTGGAGAGACTGAGGGGTAATATTCTCACCCCTGTCCCAAAGTAGTCATGTACCCTGGAACAGGCTACACCTGGGGATGCCAGGTTGAGCAAATAAAAATCCGGCTGTATTTATTTATCTGGCTACCCGTAGCCTCATACCCCTCCTTCCTCTGAACCTCCGGTTTTCTTATCATCTTCCCTCCCAAGGCAGGTGCTATTAGAATTAAGATAACACGGGCACTGCACCGGGTGGTGCTGGCCCAGAGTCAGGCTTATTAAACAACAGTTTTTATTACTGAAGCTCCACCCGGTGTCCTAGGCCCTGGTTCTAGGAACCACAGCCAAATCTGGAATTAACTAGACCTTGACCCAAGGCTGGAGGGAGAAGCATAGTTCATTCATCCCCATCTGAGAAATGTGTAACCACGTCAGAAAAATCACCTCAAGCCTTATTTTGATCATTAGAAGGATGAGACACAAGGGTCATAGGTCCCAGAGATACGTGTGGTTTTAGTAAGGCGTGTGCCTATCTTCTGTGATAGCCTCGTGGTTGAGATAGATAAACAGGGCTCTTTGGTGGATTTATGGCCAACTAGTTGAGCCACAGCAGAGAGGGCTGATTCATGGCTCTGGGTAGGACGCTGGTGGTGTTTGACTAAGGACTAACTAGCTCGGACGGATGCAGTGAAGGGGCCAGGTCGCCTCAGCCCCTCCCATTCCAAGCCACTGTGCTGTCCATCCAGACCCCAGTCATCGTCACCCGGGCTGATACTCACCTATGTCAATGGCTGCATAGACATGTTCAGGGTCGTGCATGAGGTCGCACAGAGCCATGAGGGCTTTCTGCCTCGTTAGCAGGTCCTCCGACTGCAGCTCCTCATTCAGCTTGGGCAAGGCCCTACAGCCATAAGCAATGGAGGCCTGAGCAGGGTTAATGTCAGGGGGCAGGTACATGGAGACCCGGGCATGGGACATCTTTCCACGCCTGCAGAGGGCAACTGTCTAGCTCTCAAAACAAAGCTCTGCAGAAATCACTGATTAAAAGAAACCAAAAAATTGTTGTTATTGCCACTGGGATTTAGAAGCTACTCCTCATTTAATCCTCAAAACTATAAAAGCAACCAGGTGGGTATCTTTACTTCTATTTTGCAGATGAGCAAACTGAGGCTGAGAGCAATGAAGGGATCTGCTCAAGGTCACAGTAAAGATAAATAGCAGCCCAAATTGCAAACTCCAGAGTTCTTCCATGCTTAACGACAGAGGAAAACCACCAGTACTTTACAGGCTGGGCCTTTGGTCAAAGGCTCCAAAGAGACAAACCAAACCAAAGAACCAAACAGGAATATGGCCGCCACATATAGTACTTACCTAACACCAGCAATACCTAGTATCTAACTCAACTACCCCAGAAGGAGGGGACTTGTGTTATCCCAATTTTACAAAGGAAGTAGTTCAGGTCTAAGGGTAGGGGTTGGCTTCAGGTCATAGAACTGATGAGGCCAGGCCCCAGTGTTTAAATCCAGGTCTAGCTCATCATCCATCAGGGACCCATATTCAGATGCTTCTGATACTTCCACAAAAAAAGGAATTAAGGTTAAAGCATGATTTATTTTTATTACACACATGTACACTTGGAGCAACTATAGGCAGTGTGGCTCAGTATAGCTGACCCTTGAACAACACAGGTTTGAAATGCACGGGTCCACTTATACGTGGATTTTTTTACAATACAGAACTTTTTTTACATAATACTTTGTGCATACTTTTTCACATAAATACCGAATGCATTCTCTCTCCCTTATGCTTTTAATAACATTTGGTTTCCTCTAGCTTCCTTTATAGTGAGAATACAGTATATAATAAATACAACATAATGTACATGTTAATGAATGATGTTATCGGTAAGGCTTCTGGTTAATAGTAGGCTTCCTAGTAGTTAAGGAGGGAGTCAAAAGTTAGAAGTGGATTTTCAACTGTGGGGGGAAATGTAGTATGGGCTCTCCTAACCCCTATGGTGCTAAAGGGCCAACTGTAGTTAATAATGGGCTCCAGAGGGACGCCTGGGTGGCTCAGCAGTTGAGCGTCTGCCTTCCAATCAGGGCGTGATCCGGGGGATCAGGATCGAGTCCCACATCGGGGTCCTTACAGGGAGCCTGTTTCTCCCTCTGCCTGTGTCTCTGCCTTTCTCATAAATAAATAATTAAAATCTTAAAAAAAAAAAAAAAAAAAGAATGGTTTCCAGACCCAGGCCATGGGTGGCCCTTCTTCTACCTGTGTCTTTCTGAAGTTGCAGAGGCAGGTGATAATAGCACCTCCTTCCCTCACTCCCAGACTTGTCATATGAACTGCTACTCATGAGTCTGGCACACTACTCTCACAGTGGTGATTACTGCCATTAGTCCAGCGACAGTCCCAGCCCTGTAGGAATGATCAACTCCAGTAGAGTAGGTGAGCCAAACTCTGATTCTGGGGACTATGTGACCGGAGGAAAAGAGGGGAGGGGGCCTGGCTGGGAGGGGCCTTTGCCATTTCTGGGCTCCCCCTGCAAGACAGTGGGTGCTGGGGACAAGGGCCTGACCTCCTCCTTAGAGGAGCATGGGTTAGGGAGAGCCTTGGGGTAAGAGGACACGAGGCCGGCCGCTGTGAGCCGGACTGGGTAGATCTGGGGACCCTCTGTTACCTCTCACAGCTGCCGCTCACCCGCCTCGGCTCGCGGTCCCGGAAGCGCACGCCCGTTGCCAGGCGACTGGTTGCCAGGATACCTCGCGGCGTCCGCTGCACCGGCTGCGCAGGCGCGATCGGCCTCGGGCTGGGACCTGCTGTAAAAGGGAGAGAAGGCTTTCCTGGGTTACTGTGAAGAACAAAGGCGGCTCAGCTTTGTTCATGGTACAGAAGGGAAGCGAAGTGACTGTACGTCTTTCTCTGAATAGAACATTGCAAGTCTTTAATCCTCAGGGTAAACTCGTGAAGTGGTAACATCCAGTTTACAGACAGAAGCTTCAGAGAGGTTCAGAAGCTCCTCCCAAATCACACAGGCCTGATCCCTGGACTGTCTAGCTTTGGCTCAGGCTCCTTGATAGGCAGTCGGACGGCCTGCTAATGACACAGATCAGCCCCTGAGGTGGACCCAACACACGGATGGTTGGAGCGATTGTTCTTCAAAGCAAGTCAGACCCAGCCATCGTCACCTGCCTGAAACCCTCCTGTGGCTTCCCAGTGGTCTCAGGACAGGTCCAAACTCCTAGCCTGCCATCAAGGTCCCAGATCATGGCCTCCAGGACCATGCTGGATTCTTTTAATTTCCCAAATGGTCAACTCTTTCATGCAGCCTGAGCTGCTTGTAACACTAACCACTTCTTTTCCTTCAGGACACAGTTGGTGTACACCTCGACCATGAATACTATCCTCTCCATATTAGTAAATGACCCCATAGCTTAATTATCCATTTGGCACTCTTCCTCCTCCAATTCTCTATTTATTTCCCTGCTTCCCCCAGCAGACTCCAGCTTCTCTGAGGGTGGAGGCCATGTCAGTCCTGTTTACTTGCCTTTGTAGTGCCAGGAATATACTAGAAAAATGGGTATACTAAAAGAATGGGTAATGGACTTGAATCAAGATTTATAATCTACAAAGCACTTTCACCATCTTGTGTGACCCTCGCATCAAACCCTTGAAGTTGATAGGCCGGTCCATTTTATAGCAGAGTAAACTGAGGCAGAGGAAGAGAGCAACTCATGTAAGTCCACCCCTCTGCCTGAGTCCTTAGCACTGAAATTTAACTAACAAATGCACCAAGCATTAGCCTCCAGCACAATTAGCTTTGAAATGAAGATCACTTACTTAGATCTTTGTGCCCAGGATCCCATATTGTGATGCAGAGATGTGTCCCCTACTGTGGTTCTTCAAAGGACCCAGTCCTAAAGGATCTTTCTAACCCAGAGCCCCCTAACTTTTTCAGGAAGGTGGTGTGGAGAGCACTGGGCTAGCAGTCAGAAAATCTGGGTTCCAATTCTAGTTCTTGATTCTTTTGATTTTGTGAGCCTTAGGTCCCTTGTCCATGAAACCAGGGAGCTGAATCAAGTAAATTCTCAAAGCTGGGAACCCCCAGGGCACCCCCAGGGCACCTGTTTTAAACAGGTCTTGGAATTGAGTCCCACATTGGGCTCTCCTTGGGGAACCTGCTTCTCTCTGCCTATGTCTCTGCCTCTGTGTGTCTTTCATGAATTAAAAAAAAAAAAAAAAAAAAAAAAAAGCTGGGAACCCCAGGCCTCTCAGAATCTGGTTAGAGAGTCTTTTTTCTTTTTTAATTATCCTTCAGTTTTATCATTTTTCTTTTTTTTAAGATTTATTTATTTATTCATGAGAGACATACAGAGAGGCCGAGACAGAGGCAGAAGGAGAAGCAGGCTCCCCGCACGGAACCCGATGTGGGACCTGATCCCTTGGATCCCAGGATCATGCCCTGAGCCAAAGGCAAATGCTCAACCACTGAGCCACCCAGGCATCCCCAGTTTTATCATTTTTCAATCTCCTTTTTGTCCCCTTTTAAAAGACACATACAACATAATATTAGTATATGTTAATTATAAAACATAAAAATATAATAACCACGTGTGAATTCACCGTCAGAACATTATCAATGCCTGGATCCTCTTTCCCTATCCTATACCCCATCTTCCTCTCCGAAGCTAACCACTCTCTCATTTTGTGATTACACAGTCTTACAAGTGCCTCTAAGGCCATCCATCTTCAAACAGAAATTAGCTTATAGGAGCTCAGTGACTCAGGTCAGCTTTTAAACAGCCATTAATTACAGAAATTAATTTTCTAAAATGACCCCTTTAGAAGCCAGGCATATGATATTCAGGCATCATTAGATTCAGATCTATGCAGATTAAGGTAAATGAGTGGTAGGCCGCTGCAGGGGGCTGGACTCCAATCAAAGGCCAATGCTACAGCAAAAGTTCTTATGCCATGATTGCAGAGAGGAGGAGGTATCTGCGGGAAAGACTAGAAGGAGGGAAGCACACCAAAATACGTTAAGGCTGACCTGGCAGGGCCAGAGATGGGAAATGTTATTTATTCTCTGTATTCTAAATTGTTTATTTTTATTCGAGTTATTTATTGAATAGGCAATATAGGCACATGAAAGGAAATCTAGAACATATGAAAGTAAAATGTCTCCCTCCCTCCTCAGGCCCAGCCAAACAGGTTGTCCTCATCTATATGTAGCAACCACTGTATCTTTCCAGAGCGAAGCTAAACTTATACAAGTAAACATGATTCATTTACTTTTTACTGTGGCAGCATACTTGTGTTCTTTACCTTCTTTTTAAAAATTTAATTCATGGGTAGCCCCGGTGGTGCAGCGGTTTAGCGCCGCCTGCAGCCCAGGGCGTGATCCTGGAGACCCTGGATCGAGTCCCACGTCAGGCTCCCTGCATGGAGCCTGCTTCTCCCTCTGCCTGTGTCTCTGCCTCTCTCTCTGTGTCTCTATGAGTAAATAAATATAAAAATAAAAATTTAATTCACTCACTTACCATTCACTAAATGTATGATATGCCTAGGCACTGTTAGCCAGTGCAATAGGTGGATTAAATAAACATCAACAGCCTTGCTCTCCCTGCTGACAGTGGGGGGAGATAAACAACATAAACAATAAGTTATATAATATGTTAGAAAATAGTAGGTTCCTGGGAAAAACAGAGCAGAATAAGGGGTTGGGAGGATGCTACAATTGTAAATAGGCTGCTTTGGGAAGGTCCCATCTAGAGGTGTTATCTGAGCAAACTTGAAAAAAGGGGAAGGAGGAGAGCAATGTGAATATCTGGGGGAAAAGCATTCGGGCTTAGGGAACAGCCAGTGCAAACCCCCCGGTGCCTGGTGTGTTGCAGGAACAGCAAGGAGGCCAGTAGAGTCTATGCGGGATAGGGGTTGGGGGGGGTGGATAAGAGGTGGAAGAGAGGAAAAAGGCCAGAGCAAATTATGTGAAGCCTTTTGAGCCACTGTAAAGATTTTATTAATCTGAGAGAGATGAGCAGGCATTGGACAGTTTGGAACCAAAGACTGCCATGATCTGATCTGTTTTAACAGGAGAATCCCTGGGGCCACTGAAGGGGAATTGGGTGGGGCAAGGGTAAAGGCAAGGCGACCAGCTGGAGGGAGAGAAGGTAATACACTGGGCAATACCAGTGGAAGTGGGGGGGGGGAGTAAGGGGATATTGGACAAATTTTCAGGGTAGAACCTACTGGGTTCACTGATAAATCAGTTACGGGTTGTGAGAAAAAGGAGTCAAGGGAGGGATCTTGAAGATCCCTCCATCCCAATATATAAAGAAAAATATGAAATATTTAGATAACCAGAAAAAATCACATTTAATATGAAAATAAATATTTAAACACTTCACATAATCCCTACCCGTTCTTTTGAACTACCACCTATGGCCTGGAGGCCAGGTGCTCCAGTCTTTTCACCATCAGCCCCGCCCCGCCCTGCCCCGCCCCCGGGGTCCCGGCCCCTCCTTCCAGCAGCTCTGCCCCCGCCCCCGGGGTCCCGGCCCCTCCTCCCGGCCGCCCTGCCCCGCCCCCGGGTCCCGGCCCTCCTCCCGGCCTCCATGCCCCGCCCCCGGGTCCCGGCCCTTCCTCCTGGCCTCCATGCCCCGCCCCCGGGTCCCGGCCCCTCCTCCCGGCCTCCATGCCCCGCCCCCGGGTCCCGGCCCCTCCTCCCGGCCTCCCTGCCCCGCCCCCGGGTCCCGGCCCCTCCTCCCGGCCTCCATGCCCCGCCCCCGGGTCCCGGCCCTTCCTCCCGGCCTCCCTGCCCCGCCCCCGGGTCCCGGCCCTTCCTCCCGGCCTCCATGCCCCGCCCCCGGGTCCCGGCCCTCCTCCTGGCCTCCATGCCCCCCCCCCGGGTCCCGGCCCCTCCTCCGGCCTCCATGCCCCGCCCCCGGGTCCCGGCCCTTCCTCCTGGCCTCCATGCCCCGCCCCCGGGTCCCGGCCCCTCCTCCCGGCCTCCCTGCCCCGCCCCCGGGTCCCGGCTCCTCCTCCTGGCCTCCATGCCCCTGCCCCGGTCCCGGCCTTCCTCCTGGCCTCCATGCCCTGCCCCGGGTCCCGGCCTTCCTCCTGGCCTCCATGCCCCCCCCCCGGGTCCCGGCCCTTCCTCCTGGCCTCCATGCCCCCCCCCCCGGGTCCCGGCCCTTCCTCCTGGCCTCCATGCCCCCCCCCCGGGTCCCGGCCCTTCCTCCTGGCCTCCATGCCCCCCCCCCCGGGTCCCGGCCCTTCCTCCTGGCCTCCATGCCCCCCCCCCGGGTCCCGGCCCTTCCTCCTGGCCTCCATGCCCCGCCCCCGGGGTCCCGGCCCCGCCTCCCAGCCGCTCTGCCTCCCCACTGGAAGCCCGCTCCTCCCGCCCTCATTACCATGGTGATCGCCCAGCGCGTGCGCAGTGTCCTGGAAGCTTCTGCAGCTCCCCCGAGACGCTCTGGTTGCTACAGTGACCTCTCGGTGGAACCGCGCGTGGACTCTTTCCGCTGTGAGCTCCGCCCAGAGCCCGTCCCTGACGCCAGAGATTCGTCAGACGCCCTCGGGTCCAGCGTGGTGCTGGTTGCTATGGTGATCGCGGCCACCGGCCCCGCCAGACCAGGTCGCGCAGCTCCTGGAGCCTTTGCAACCCCCGCGGGTGAGTCTGCCGCCCCCTGTCCCCCCCGGTCCTCTACTGTGCAGGGGCGTCCCGGAGGCCCTGGTTGGGAGGGCTCCGCGTCCCCGCCCACCTCCCGCAGTACGAACCTGAACCCTGGGGCCTCCTTGCTCCCTGAGCGGCCGCCCTGGGCCGGGCCGCGTGGTCCAGAAGGGGAGCCGGGTCAGGTCGGGGAGGACGATGGGCCTGTGTAAGACCCCCCTAGCGGAGTGGGGAGGACAGGAGAGGACGCAGGGCTGTGCTGTGAGGGGCCAGGCGCTGGGCGGGTGCAGGGGTGCAGAGAAATGCCTGTAGGTGTAACCTGAGATCCCTGACCCACCCAGAGCCTTTGTCGCTTGGAGACTAGGAGCAAGGGACCACCTCAATTCTGCGTCTTCCACCTGGGCGGTGGTGATGCCCAGCTTGGCATTTGTGCCATGCCTCACTCACCCCGGTGATAAATTAAGAGAGGGGCCGCTCCTGGTTGGAGGAGCCCCCAAGCAGGGCCAGGAAAGCCTGGTCCCCCCCACCCCACCGCAGCCATACTGCCTGCAGATGGAAAGAGATGATCTCTGGTCAGTTTCCCTGTGGGAGAAGGGGGCGTGGACCAGTGTTTAAAGCTACTGAGGCTAAGCATAAACTTAAGGATGAGTCCCCAGGGATTTATGTAGCTCCCTAACCCTCTTTTGCCTGGCTGGGTCCACAGGACACTCTGGAAGGATGAGGTCTTCGCTGACGTCTTTGGGGCCGCCTGTGAGCCGGGACCGCGTCATCACCAGCTTCCCTAAGGTAGAGAGAGTCGTTAGCCAGCCCTTTAGGTGCATGCTGCTCTCCCAACACCATCTCCACATCCACATTCCCCACCTGCATTCACCACCAGAAACAAAGCAGGAGAATCGGGGAGGTCAGTGGTCAGTCGTCAGTCCCTCTCTAACAAAGCCCAGGAACTCAGTAGACTTCTTCAGAAACAGGGAGACTTGGCACTGACTTGCCCGAGGTGGACCAGCTAGTTAAGGGTGACCCCAGGAGATGATGTGGCATGGAGGTTAAAGGCACAGACTTGGCAGACAGTCCTGGGGCTGAATCCTGACTCTCTCATTAAACTATGTGACTGTGGGCAAGTTACTCAACCTCTCAGCGCTGCTGATACGTAAGGATAATTCCTCACTTTGGGTGCTTGGCGTTGGTAAACAGGAGTTCCCTTACCCGAGTTGTGGTCACTGCCATTCTCATTGGTATTATTACTATTATCAAAGTAGCAGTCTAGTTTCCTGACACCAAATCCAGGATCCTCCCTCCTTACCATGCTGCCTTCACTTCCTGCTGAAAATACGACGGTCTTTCATGCATATCAAAATCCAGTATTCATTGCATCAGGTGTTGCATCAGGTTGCAAATCAGTCCAACCCCTAGAGGAGGCCGTGCGACAATATTTCCCACCTTTGTGTTGCCGCTGCCTTCTGATCCAGCCATTGAAGGCCAGGTAGTGGAGCAATTTGTAAAGCACAAGATCAGACACAGTATAAAATGTCTTCGGGGCGGGGGGCTGCTTCAACAGCAAAATGCTATGTCCTGACCCAGACGGGAGGCAGAGTGAGGCTTCCCTTCAGGAGCGGATGTGTAATGAGACTCAAAGTCAATTAACTAAAATGTGAGGAATGGAGCATACTTCCACTGGTGGAAAAAGGAGAGGGGAGAAGACAAATGCACGTGTTTGTTTATACGTGCCAGAAATCTCTCTGGAAGGACACAGAAGATCTTGCTGTCTGTGGTTGCCTCCATGTGACTTGGGACAGGGCATGGAGGGAAACATCCTCTCCTTGGAATGACCTCTCTCTGTCCTTTGAATTCTGTGCCCAGGCTGGTACACAGGAAGGAGGTAAGGAAGGAGGGGACTGCAGACTTTGGGTAATTTGGGCCTGTCTCACCTTTTCTTCCTCTGCACACCCAGAGAGAAACCTGTGGTGCCTCGGACCTGTGGACAATTCTCCCAGAAATTTCCATCTCAACAGATTCCATCCCAGGCAATTGCTTCCCTAGAGAGCTTCACCGTGGTCACCAGGGATGATAGACACTGATGTTTAGTGAGCCAAAAGGAAGGGAAGTATGATCGGCACAGAACGGTCCAGGTCTCACGGCGCAGAGGGCTCCATTTACAGAACAGATCAGCAAGGCGCAGAGAGGCAGGGTGGGGGGGGGGGCTGCGGGGCGTCACACCTCTGGGTGTGGGAGAGCCAGGACTTGACCTGAGAGCCGGCCGGAGGCATCCACCGTGTTTTCACAGAGGGTGAGATTCTCCTCATCCTGTCTGTGGCAATTCATCATACATCGCGGGGCCACACCACTTCAGACCTGAGACATTCCTGGTCAGGTGGGGCAAGTCTCTCTCATTACTCTGTGCCTCAGTTTCCCTGTTTCTAGAATCAGCTCACACTTCTTGCCCAGTCCTCCTTGTTACATTTCTTCAGTGCATCCACAGTGGTGGGATGCCTCTAATGACCACGGTGGCCAGGCTGACACCCCCCACCCTATCCCACCCCCCCGCACCCCATTTGAAACTGCCTGCCGTGAAAGTGGATGGGGGAGGGGAGAAGCAGCCTGCTTTCTCATGAGGTAGTGAGGAATGTGGGCTGTGGGCCAAGCTGCTCACCTGCCTTACCCATTTGCTCCTCCCCCCAACCACATGACTAGGTTATGAGTGTCCCCACTTTCCGGATGAGGAAACGGGCTCACTGAGATGCTGTGACTTTACCTTTTGTAAAGCTGCTTCCACTGTCCCTGCCGCCTCCATCCTGCCTGAAGTCGAGGGGGCAGGTGCTCCAGGGCAGAGCCCACCTCCGTGCCCAGGAACTCAGAAGAAATACTAAGGCTAGAAGGAGGTGGAGCCCTTGCTACAGAGGAGCTGTGGGTCCCAGCAGTGCCCCAAAGGACATGGTGGGCAGCCTGGGGGGACCCTTGCCATATCACAGCAGGCCACACCAGCAGCTTCCACCAGCAGCTTCCAACGATGCCCCTCTCCCCATATCCTCACCACATGCCATCCTCAGCCTCTGCCAATCTGTGAGCAAAACATGACTGTCACCTTCAGTTTGTTTAATGTCATCTTTTCCGATGGTAAAATAAAGGGGCGTGCAACGTGTATCATGACATCTTAATAGCCACAAATATTTGTGCAGCACTTAGTGTATCCACTGATGGCTTTACAAGCATTATTTCATTTTATGCCCCCAGGCTTCTGGGGCCTTCTAGATTAGAGACATTAGACAGCTGCCTGGGATCACACAGCAGCTAAGGGGAGACACAGGTCTCCCTGACCCTGAGGGGGTGCTCTTCAATCTTGACCCGTTCTGCCTTCCAAGAAACGTGGAAGACCCAGAGAGCCCTCCGGGACATTTTCCTTGCACATAGATACACAGTTTCAAAGCAAACGTGGCATCCAAGATCCTAGAAGGCATGGAAGGATCTCGGTGCCAAAAGTGCCCTGATAACCCACCCCTCTTCTCGCCTGGAGAAGTTCAGGGAGGATAGGGACCTGCCACATGCCCAGAGCAAGGGCACAGCTGCCCCAGGCAAGACCCAGCTCTCCGAGTTGCCACCTGGGCCCTTTGGTCTGACCCCCACTGCTGCTCCTCAGGACTCACAAGACCTGGGAGTCTCGGGGCCACCGATGGGATAGAGGACGGGTGTGACAGAGGGGTCAGGGAAAACTGATGAGCTGGGCCATAGGGAATGCTGGCAGGCAAGTCACCACTTTGCTGCCCTACTTGGTCATGGAGTTGCAGCTTTGTAGGATGAAGTGTCCATCTGTCCATCTGTCTGGCTTTTTCCAGTGGTACACCCCTGACGCCTGCCTGCAGCTCAAGGAGCACTTCCATGGGCAGGTCAGCACCACCTGCCAGCGCAGGAACACAGGGACTGTGGGGTGAGTGACCCCATAACCCAGGGAACGTGGGATGTGGGGGGAGGCAGTGGGTAGGAATGAATGCATGGATGAATATATGAACGGGCAGATGAAACACACATATGATGCCCGTAGAGCCCAGAATGGGCCTAGAGGCGACCAGGATCTTCACCTGGCTTTGCTGCCATAGAGAATGTCTGCCATAGAGAACGGCTTCCCCTTTTCTCAAGAAGTCCTGCACGTGACTTCTCAGCCTGATATCCTTGGCATATGTCTGCTTTCTCCATCTGGAATGTCTTTCCTACCCTTCAGCTCACAGTATAGTGTTAGAGGACTCCCCACCCCTATCCCCGCCTCCCCAGCCTGGGCTGGGTACCCCTCCTGTGTGCTTCTTGGTCCCAAGCACTTATCTCACAGACTTGCGAGTTTGCTTCTAGGTTCAGCACTAGGCCTAGCCTGTGAGGGCAAGGGCTGTGTCTGTTCTGCTTCCGCCTCAGCAGCCCTGGCACCTGGCACCACCTAGCCCTGCTGGCTTTGGAAGTTTGCAGCAGTTACTCCCTCCCTTAACACACAGGTACCAGGGCCTACTTTTGCCTCTCCTCCTGAGGAGCTCATGGTCTGCTCAGGTAGTCATTGGGGCTCACAGGTGTCATACAGGTGTGGTGAGGTGGCTGTGGAAGCCCAGCTCTGAGTTCCCAGATAGCACAGACTGAGGCCGGGCTCAGGTCAGAATGTCCATGGCAGCCATGGTCACAGGATGAGAGCAATGGCCACCAGTTAGGGTGGTATGTCATGTAGATGACCTCTCTGACACCCTTCACAACAGCTCTGGTAGGTGAGAAACTGAGGCACAGTGGGTACCCCCATAATACCTCAGCAGTACCTTTACTCCTTCATCTGGGAAGCTGGAGTTAGGGCCATCCTGCTCCAGAACCAGAGGCCACCTGGGAGCAGAGAAGGCACAGCCTCTGTGCCCCCAGACACGGCCAGGGGAGCTGTATCAGGTCCCCAGGTAACACAGGTGCCTTCTTGCTGTCTGCAGGCAGAGGAAGTACTTGGTCCAATGTCTGAGCTCCTTCCGCATGAGCTGCCAGGCAGTTAGTGACAGTAGTATCCTGGTCAGGGAATACCTGCTTGCCAAAGCAGGAGCCCTTGCAGCCCCAGGCATGGGTAGGAAGGTGCAGGGGCTCTGCCCCCAGTGCCTGTAGGCCCTGCCCACAGCACTGTGTCTGGTCCTCACACGTCCAGGCTCCTCACTGTGCCACAGCTCCCATATAGCCCCACCTGGGACTCCTCCCTCTAGTCTGTCAGCCCAAGACTCAGCCTCCCTTCGTGCCCAATTCTTATCCTCACCACTTGGACCCAGTAGGGTCAATGGTACAGCCCCTGAGAGAGTAGAGTCCCTAGAACAAATACAGGCCTTCTGCCCTCTCCTGTGAGTGCCAGGGATGAGGACACACATCCCAGAGTGTCTCAGCAGGTGGCCTATTCCCTGTTAAGGACTGACACGTGGCTCACGAGTGGGGAGCTCAGGGAAGGAAGGGCCCGTATGTGTGAAGATGCTCTGTGGCCACACTCGCACGCAACACAGCCATATCCCTCACAGGCTCCGACTCTCCAAGGTGGTTGTCGTTGGCGATCTCTACGTGGGCAAGACCAGCCTCATCCACAGGTGCGCCTGCTGCCCACACCTCCCAGCACTGGCTGTCACGCTTTCCCCTGGGAGACCAAAATGACACTGTCGTCATCAAAACTGTGTGGTTGCTGGGTGCCACACCTCAGAGGGGGTACAAGGAATCAGGGAGATCCAGGTTGGGTGGAGGGTGCAGGGTCCCAGGACCCTGGCATTCATGACACCATCCCCTGGGACCATGGGCTCATGCCTCACTGGCCCTGACCTGCAGCATTTGCCATCTGGGCTGCTGCAGCCCTCTTCCCCCCGAGCAGTTCTTATCAGCAGCTCCGTCTGTCTACTGTTTCCCTCTGTGGACCATCATCTCATATTCCCTGTGGGTGCACTTCCCATTGCCTGCAGACTTTGCCTGTCATGAGCGAAGCTTCCACACACAGCCTCTCTGATGACTTCCTCAACTCCCACAGGTTTTGCAAGAATGTCTTTGACCGTGACTACAAGGCCACCATCGGGGTGGACTTTGAAATCGAGCGCTTCGAGATCGCTGGGATTCCCTACAGCCTGCAGATGTAAGTGGTCATTGTGTCATGCCATTTCCTGTGTGGCTCATGAGTGGGCTTTGTTGGGGGAGAGCCATGGGGAAAGCCTTGGTGAGCTCCTTGACTGTGCCCTGTGGTGCTCAGTGAGGACCTGTCTAGATAAACAGGAATGATTGTATGAAACTGGGCTGCGCCAGTTCCCAGAGGCCTGTGTACTCCCTCAGTCCCCATGGGTGTCTCACGTTGGTCATCAGACCTGGGAAAGTCCTCACAGACCGACGTGCCCACCCATCCTCATCCTACCCTGACGCCTACCCCTCACGTTCTGGCTCTGGGTCCCCACCCCTAGCTTGCCTGGTGCTCAGTGATCCCCCCACTAGGCCAGCAGGGTGGCATCTGGCCAGTCACTTCAGACCTCTGAGCATCTGTTCGCATCTGGAAAACGGAGCCCAAAGCGGTCCCTGCCTGCCGGACTCTGGTGGAGGCCCCCTAGTCCACGCACCTTCCTCGGGCTTGATGTTTCCCCACTCCTCCTCACCCCTCTGTCTGCACTCCACTCCCCTTTCTCTCCCTCTGTCTGCTTCCCTGCAGACCCCATGTCTCTGCATCTCGGTGGCCCCATTGGCTTCAGTCCCTCCCGTTTCCCTCAGAACAGCCCAGAGTCTGTTCCCCAGAGCTCTGGACCTTGCCTTCCCTCTCCTCTGGCACCTGTAGGATGCTGCAGGTCTGTGTGTCACCAGCTGAACCCTCTCCTGTGTGACTTTCTCCCCACTCCAGTCTCTCCTGTGTGGCTCCTTCCCCTTCCTAGGCTCCCCACCCAGCTGCCCCTACACCACTGTGGCCTGCTGCCTCGGTCCTGGTCCCCTTCTTTCTCTCTCCCTATGAGTCACACCTGCTTCTCTGGTTTCATCCTCAATCCTCTATGCCCTGCCTGGGCTTAGCCTGGAGATCTAGGGTCATCAAGATGGAGCTCTCCCTCTCGTGGACCTCAGCTCCTAACTCTGCCCGCTTCTCTGAGGACAGCCCCAGTGCAATCCTAGAGCCAGATGGCACCACCACATCCTGCCCAAGGGAGAGTATGGGGCCAGACCAGAGCAGAAGAGGCAGGGCTGGGGACCCAGGGGCTCTGGAGCCAGGAGAGCTGAAGAGCACAGAGCTGATGGGACAGCCCATGTGGGGCCAGGCAGAGAACAGCCTGTGCTGGGCTCCCCTTTGTGGCCACCGGCTGTATTGACTAGAGTAGAGACGCAGTCCTGGCTCAACTTCTCATTGTCCCTACTGGGGACACTGCCAGCCATCCCACTGGCCCCACCTCCAGGCCACCCTCCCTGATTCCCACCCAGAGTCATCTTCAGAAACGAAAGACGTTATGAATGAATTAACAGAAGAACAGTGCCAAAAGGTTCTGCATCATGCTGAATCACTTGAAAAAATTTCAGACCGTTGAGATCTTATTCATGGCTTATCTACTTTTCCATTTACAGAAGAAAGTTAAATTTTGATCTGCTATTTTTAAAAAGGGATGGGTTTTCAGAGTCAGTCCTGCGTGTTGACCGCCTGCCTGGTTCTAATATTTTATTTTATTTTACCTTATCTTATATCATCTTATCTTGTCTCTCATGAATAAATAAAATCTTTTTTAAAAATAAAAAATAAAAATAAATAAACCAGAGCAAGTAGATCTCAGTATGTGTCTCCCCCTGTCCTATACTGTGCCGATGGCAGACCTTGTTAATTTTTTTAAGATTTTATTTATATATTCATGAGAGACAGAGAGACACTCCCAGGTCCCACCCAGGGACCTGAGCATCCCCTCTGCTGCAGGGCCAAACGTGAAGCCATGGGCCAGCCACACACGAGCAAGTGGCAGAGCCTAGAATCCCAGGGCCATTCACCAGGCCACGTCTGCAGGTGGACTTCCACATCTTCAGAGTGAGCACTTCAGGGGCATACTCTCTTTTTTAATGGCACAGACTAAAGGAACTGAGCTACAACTCCATCTAGACAGTGGAATTAGGTCAGGCCCCTCCCCCACGGGCATGTGACTCCAGCTAGGGAATTCCCCCCTGGGGCCCCATGGGAAGGAATCCCGAAGAATTGCGGGGCGGGGCCACTAGCTGGTGGTTTAGAGCACTGCAGTTGCTTCATCTGCCACCTCTTTCTTTCCCTTTCTGTCTTTGCCACTACACAGCTGGGACACCGCAGGGCAGGAGAAGTTCAAGTGCATCGCATCTGCCTACTACCGGGGTGCCCAGGGTGAGCATCCGGGTGATGGCAATGGTGGGGCCCTCAGCCATGGCAGGAGGCTCCCACTGGGCTCATAACAAGTCCAGGTCCTCCGCCCAGGCACCAAATCTGCCCTCCAAGAACCACTGAGAAAATCCCCAGCCAGCCCTTGGGGATGAGGAGACTGCTTTCCAGCCAGCTGGGCCTGGGGTTGGCCTCAGCAGTCACATCCTGCAGGGACCCTGTGCTGGTGGGTGCTCGCTTTGGGGTCTCAGCCACAGTTTCAGCTCAGTAGGATGCTTACGGGGGGGGGCACATGTCCAGAAACCCCGGAAAAGAACAGAGTTGACTCCTGGAGGAGGTGCGGGGAGGCAAGGCTGGAGGGGAAGAGTGGAAGGGCCACAGGAGGACTGCACCTGCTGGGGGGGGGCGGGGGGGCAGGTAATGGGCAGGCCTCTCAGGCAACAGGCGACAGCATAAGATCCCCACTTCAACACTAGCTTCCTGGGGGTTTCGGTGGAAAACCATTCACGGTATCCAAAACCAGGCTCAAGTTATGAGACCCAGCTATGTCTACTTGATGCTGGTGTAAAGAAATCACAACATTGCTATTGGAGATTTGAAAAATGCAAAACCAGGAAACCATGATCACCTTGGTTACAGTCGGAGTTCCAGCTGTGGCTTGTCTTCTCAGGGAAGACATCCCCTGAGGAGGAGGTGTCAGGCACTGGGCATACCCCTGAGAACAGCAGCCCAGCCCACCACCATCACCATGCTCCGTAGCCTCCCTTGCTTCATCCCCCTCTGCCTCAGGGGGCCTCCTGCAGCTTCAGGCAAGATGCAGAGGAAGGCTCTAGCTGGCCCTGATCACATCCCCAGGCCCAGTAGAGACCAGGCCTTGCTGGAATGTTCTCTACGTAGGACTCCCTTCAGGACACCAGGGGACCCTGGACACCCTGAACACCACGGGACCTGGACAGGACCAGTGATGAGAACCACCCTGCTCCTCAGAAATGGTTCCCCTAAAGCTGCTTATCTGTTGCTATTGTCCTCAGAGCCATAGATGCCATTGAACGAAAGTCCTGCATCAGGCCCTAGATCAAGAGCTTATAAAAAAGCTGTTCTTGCTTAAACCTCACAGCACCCCTGAGAGCCTGAGGTATCATTCTCACCACTTCACAGATGGAAAAATTGAGGCTCTCAGCAGTTAAGGCCCTCACCTGAGCTCCCTTAGCTGTAAGAGGCAGAGAGGAGATTTGAACACAGGAGCCTATGAGCTCATCTTGCCTCCCTGGATACCCCCTCGAGCTGGGCCTCTAGGTATGGGTTGGAGAGGGTGGTGGGTTGGTAGATAGCAAGGGGGCGCCATGTGGTGTCTCCTTCGCAGCCTTCATAGCGAAGACCCGGGCTGACTGCCTGGGAGGCCATCCCAGCAATTCTGCGGAGTCCGGCTCCTCTCTGGGTTTCTCTTGGGGAGCAGGGAGCTGCCTGAGGGGAGCCCCTCCTTGTACACCGTGTTTGTCTCACCTGTTGCTGACCAGTTCTTGGCTTCTCCCCATGTGTACAGTGATCATCACAGCCTTCGACCTCACTGACGTGCAGACTCTGGAGCACACCAGGCAAGTCTGGGACTCTTCAGCCCCTATGGTTCCTTTGGGTTCAGGAATGCCCATGAGCTGGGCCCCCAGTGGCAGATGCAAGGGACCAGACTCGCTGGTGAGAACTGACCACCCACAGGCCACTTACTGCCTCCTCGCCACATTATCCCTTAAGATTTGCCCCCATCTGCTGAAGGCAGGGCCAGCTCAGGGTTTGCAGCCAGCCCAGGCTGACAGGGGCCAGGCTCAGAAGGGCCTGCCTTTGCTTTAAAGCTCTGCTGTCACCATCTTGAGAGCTTTAGTAATTGCTGGATGAGGAGCCTCCCATTTTCACTTTGCTCTGGGTCCTACAAATTATGTGTAACCAGTCCTCTTGTCTTGGCTGGAGACCTGGTAACATGACCAGCGCCCCACTCAGCCAGCCAGGGTCTGGGTACCTTCCCTGCGACTCGTGGCTCAGTGCTCCCAGTGCGCCCCCAGACCTCTCTAGGTGGATGGATGCCATCTCTCAGCCTGTCTTCCCTCTGTGCAGGCAGTGGCTGGAGGATGCACTCAGGGAGAACGAGCCGGGCTCCTGCTTCGTGTTCCTCGTTGGAACGAAGAAGGACCTTCTGGTGAGCAAACCAGAGCGAGAGGCTCTGGAGGGCCCTCCGGAGAATGCAGCTGCTTTCAGCCCAAGCTTGGGGAATGGAGGGTGGCATTGATGTGCCTAGATGGGAATTTGAAGACCAGGAGCTAAAAGTTAGGGGCACCTGAGTTTCCTGTGCTGGTCTCATTGGAGAGGGATCAGCAGGATGTCACCCCTGGGGAAGTGTACCCCGGCCCATGCACCTGCCCATCCCAGGGTGAGATGGGGAGGTGGAGGCACAGGGGGAAGCTCTCCCCGCCACACACACAGGAGGGTCAGGAGGGCTGCTTCTCCCAGTCAGGGGCTGCATGTAAGCAGGCAGAGGTGGAGGCTGTGCGCCTGGCCAACGAGATGCAGGCCGAGTACTGGTCGGTGTCAGCGAAGACAGGTGAGTGGGTGCGGGGCTATCGCCCCAGAGGGTGCAAGAAGTCTCCTTCTGTGGCTCTGTGGTATGCTCAGGTCACAGCCAGCTGTGCTGGTGACCACACAGAGCCTTCCACTGCCTGAGAGGAGGTCTCCTCGACTCTAGAGGGAGACCCATGGGCACCAGGAATAGGGACACCTGGCCCTGTGTGCGTGTTCTCTAATGCATCCCCTCCCTCTGTGAGGCAGATCCATTTTATCTCTGCAAGGTCACGTCCAGGGTCACAGGGAGGAAGCAGCAGGGCTGGAATTGGAATACAGCCCTCACCTGTAACCACTATACCATCCTGCCCCCCCACCTAAGAGGCACCTCCTGGCACATAGAAGGGCCCAGTAACTGTGGCTCCCATGTCTTTCCCGGATGTCATCGTGGAAGACACTGCAACATTGCTCATGGCCCCCTGGCCCTCATCCACATCCCAAGTCTGTCCTCCAGGCACACGGGACCCCCAGCCCCTGAGCCGGCTTTACCCACAGGCCCCTGCTTACTCCAGCCCAGGCTAGATGCCTAATGTCTCAGCTTTGGTGTCCTTATCTGGGAAATGGGGTGATGCTGTCCATCTCATTTCATCTTTCTTGCAAAAAATGTGTTTTAAATTACAGAAGCCATATGTTTTCACTGAGGAAAAATTAGAAAACACAGAGAAGCAAAGGACAGGTTGTTGGGGGTGGTGGTGGTGAAATGAAATACCATGCAGTGACTGGCTCATAGAAGGCCCCAGCAGCTCAGGGGACTCAGGAATTATGCCTTGAAGTCCTTGCTCCAGGTGAGAGGCTGCAATAGACATCTGGTCAGGGATGGTGAGGCAAGGATGAGAGTACTAAGGGTGGGTACCACATGGTCAGGGATGGTGAGGCAAGGATGAGAGTACTAAGGGTGGGTACCACATGGTGGGGTGGGGAGGGAGCACAACCTCCAGCCCAACCCAGTTCCCTCTGCTCCTTCATGACAGCATCCCCTGTATCCTCTGATAACTGCCTCCCCTTAGAGATTCACTGAGAATTCCCTAGGGGCCAAGCAGGATTGCCCTGTGCAGTTGTATAGGTTGTCAGCTACACAAGGGCAGTGCACATGGTGGGGGCCGGAACCTAGCTCTGTACCCAGATGGGTGGCCTTCTCTGCCTGAAGGAAGTCTATGTGGAAGTTGACCCCCCCATTAATCCTCATAGCTGTCCACTCGACAGGTGCTCAAAAGTGACAGGAAAAGCAGACACCCTTCTGATCTCCACGCATGCCAGTGGCAGGCCCACAGGAGATACTCAGTGGTGATTAATTGGAAGAGTAGATGCTGGGAAACCAAGGCTCAGAGATTTGAGGTTGCTGCTGGAGCAGGGGGCCCCAGGGCCCCAGAGGTGGGAAGCCAGGCTGGCCAACACCATCCCTTGCCCTGTGCCACCCCAGGCAGCTCCACAGGTGGGCCGCCCTGGCTCCCATACCCCCTGGCTCCGAAATTCGTCCGTGAGTAAGGGCCGAGGTAATGGGGTCAGGGCTGTCTCTTGGGCCCACAGGGGAGAACGTGAAGGCGTTCTTCAGCCGTGTAGCTGCCCTGGCATTCGAGCAGTCAGTTCTGCAAGACTTGGAGAGGTGGAACAGCGCCCGGGCCCAGGTCGGCGACGGAGACCTCATCCGTGCGTACAGACAGTGGGACCAAAGCTGGGGAGCAGGCTAGCAGCCTAAAATCCATGTCCACCGTCCTCCCATCCCAAGAGGCCACCCCCTTAACTTGTCCCCTTGAGCTGTCCTCTCGGGGGTACCATCTTTGCCATTACTCTGACATCAAGTCCTCAGTCTCCCTGACCCTGCCGCCAGCTGAGACTTGCTCCCTGGCTCTCCCTGCCCTCAGGAGCTTCTTCACGAGCCAGGCTGGCGTCCCTGGCTGTGTGGATGTGTTCTAGCTTTGGCTCTCCCAGTCTGGGTCTTTCCCCATGCTGTTCCACCATCTGGAATACATCCTCAGCCTCTCGGCCAATGCCAGGTCACCAAGGCCTTGCTTGAGAGGCCTGGGGGTCAAGCTCAGCTCTGCCCAGCAGTCACGAGTGGGTGCCAGTGGCAGGGGAGGGTGGCTGCTCCGTGTTAGCTGCAGGCACTTAGTTGATGCCAGGTGACTTCTCCCATCCTTACAGGAATGGAGGAGAGTCCACCCGAGACCCAGGAGAGCACGCCGTCCTCCAGCCTGGGTTGCTGTTAGCTGGGGCCTGCATCAGAAGCCTCTACTCCCCGCACACACATGGGCAGTGCCTCCCATGACTGTGGATGGGGTGACATGAAGCCATCCGTAGCTGCCCACCCACCATGCTGAGCCCCAGAGCTCAGCAACTTCTCTTTAGCAGGTTGGGAGCCAGGAAAGGGTGGCACTGGCTGCCCAGGAGCCCCCCTTCACTGCCCCACTGGTGGGCACACAGTGGTGACCATCTGGAAGGCCAGTTCCACCCAGATAGTCACCAGACATCCCCCCCTGGCCTCGAGAGGCCTCAGAAGTGCAGACACGAGACACTTGTGCCCCACAGCCTGCATCTCTGTCTTGGCACACATTAGCTGCCCACACAGGCCCTCTGACCACTTTGCCGGGCTGGCCTCAGGATCCTTCTCTTCTCAGTGGTCTAGGCAAGTCTTTTCTGTTATTAGCAGGACTTGCAGTTCTCAGTCCCAGAGCCCCAGGCCTCACTGTCCACTGTCCCTCTGCCATAGACTTGTGGGATCCTGGGTCAGCCTTGCCCCTCTGGAGGAGGATGGACAAGAGGGTCTCTCAGGCCCCTTCTGGCCCAGGGGTCAGCTTTGGCTCCTCTTTGATCCTTGTCCTGTTGGTCAGTGTGTGAGGATGGGCAGAAAAGGCCATCATGCCCCTCTGGCCCACCTGGACAATGAATTTCCCCAGCTGCCCCTGGGGTACAGTACTGCTGCATCCCTTGTGCATGGCGCTGCCCTGCTGTTAACTGGCAGTTGTCACACAGACACTGTTGGGCTGGTATCTGTGGTTGCCCCCACTGCCCCTCTCTCTGGTCTCCACAGGAAAGGGCCTGGAGAACAAGAAACTCTGCGTGCCTGCCTCTCAGGACCTTTGTGGTGGCCTCCTTGACTCTTTGGAGGACATCGGAGGCCCTCCGGAGTCTGGCAAGCTCCTCATCGACACCCCTCCATCCTGCACATCCAGGACAGGCAGGCACAACCCAGGCATGCCCTCCCTAGTGCCCACTCTCTCTCTGCCCTCAGGTTGCTCTTCTATGGGGGCTTTAACTACCCGCACCTGCCCCTGGCTGGGTGCCCACTCCTCCCCACCCATCCCTTCCCACAAGCAGGTGGGCACATCTGGGCATATCCTGCCTGCTTCTCATAAATGGCGAGCATTTTGCCAATAGCTGTTCTGGTCAGTGCCCCAAACAGTACCCCATACGGTGCTGGGCACACTGTGGGTGCCCACTGCATATTCACTGGCTGGCAGCAATTGCTAAATGCTGGTTGGGGAAGGACACATCTTTTTCTGTTCAGTCTCCCTGCACCACATTTTAGCTGTTGTTTACAGATTAAAAAAAAAAAAAACACCTCTTTATATAAATCACTGTTAAAGGAATTATGTACACCAGAATTGTAATCCAAAATAAGACACTATGAGGTTTTGCATACAGTGTGAAAGTCCCCTTCCTGTCCTTGGAAGTAAGTGCTGCTAACAACTGTAAGAGTCCTTCCAGACTATTCCTCTGCAGCACAACCATGTTTGTTGGCTCATTTGCTGTTTGAGCAGAATGGTCTTTCCCCGCACATGCTGCCCAGCCGCAGCCTGTGTTCTGACTGACGCGCAGGAGCCCTCCCTCCACACGGAACCTACTTGTTCCTTTAGCAACTGCTGGTTTTCCTTCAGGGGATGGACCAGAGTCCAAGTGCCCTGCCCCCCCAAGTGGCACATTAGGCTTCTGTCCAGCTTCCAGCCTTTACCAAAGGTACTGCAGAAACCGTCCTTGGAGTTGTGACTTTGTATACTCAGGATTCCCAAAGACAACGTGCTGGCCCTTCTGTGGATGGGGCCCCCAGCTTGGTCCATTAGACACAGTCATGGCGGGGTCAGGGGGCAGGCTGCATTAGGACCAGGTTTGTGGCACACAACAGAAAGTGTCATGGGATGGAGGAGCCTGGCCACAGAGAGTTGGCACTCTCCAATGGCTCCCTTCCCCTCACCCCTCTAGGCCTTGGGATTGGGGTGGGGGGCTGATAAGGAGGTCCTGTTACTAGCTCCTGAGCACCCATTCTCTACAAGTAGCCCTTTATTAAACTCTCCCCATGTTAGGACACCTGGGTGGCTCAGTGTTTGGTTCTGGTCACAATCCCAAGTCCCAGGATTGAGTCCCGCATCGGGCTCCCTGAATGGAGCCTGCTTCTCCCTCTGCCTGTGTCTCTGGCCCCCTCTCTCTCGCTGTGTCTCTCATGAATAAATAGTTAAAATGTAAAAAAACAAAAACAAAAAACAAAAACACACACCTCTCCCCATGTTGTCTGCTGTGCATGTTTAGTTGTTTCCCACTGGTTGATACGGAGTCTTCTGTCAGAATCGACGAGTTAGCGAAGACATTCTCTTCAAACACCTCAAAACTGGGCTGTGGTTTCTGGTGCAGAGACCCAGGATCACATGCAAATGGTTCAGAAAAGGTTTGTCCCACAGCCCTTTCTTTGTCTCTGCCAAGCAGCCTTGTCCTTGGGACACTGTGTCCCTTACATGTCTATCCCCGCAGCCAGGGGGTCCCAGTGCCCTGCCACCCAGGGTTGTGACCCCAAAAATGGTTTATTCGCATGGACCCAACCACACCCAGCCCTCCTCAGGGTCCCCAGTAGAGCCAGGAAATGAGCTAATCAATCCCTTCCTCTGTTCCCTGGGCCCCCACAATTTCAGTCAGTCCCCTAGCCCTACAGCCACATGACCTGCGATGAAGATTCCCCAGTGACCCAGAGTGGGGCGCTTGCTCCCAGTCTCCTTAATCTTGTGCCCTGGGTCCATAGATTGGTGGGCAGAGGGAGGCCAAGGATCCATTCAACCCCCACCTCAGCTGTGGGGTGAGATGGGAGCCACCCCCAGATGGATCTCAATCTCTAGAGAGACTCAAGGTTACCCAAAATCCAGGTAACTGGAACAGAGATGGACAGAGGATCACTTTCTCACCGATGAGATTTGGCATACCTAGGAAGGTTTACAAGGAGTTCCAAGCCTACAGGGAGGACATGGTGACCGAGGAGGCCCAGAGCAGGGACCACGAGAAGGCATAGGGTGGGGGGAGTCTTCAGAAGAACCGGCACCCAACTCAGAGAGGGCCCTCCTCTTCTGAGGGAGAAGGGACTCCTAAGGACTGGTGGGGTGGGGGCTGGGTCCACTGTTGCCCAAGAAGCTCGGGGCTTCAGGCGCTGCCCAGCAATGAGAAACCCAACAGCTCCTGGGCTCCTCTGCCATCTGCTGTAGCCTCCCCATGTCACCTCCCATATGTCAGGCCTTCCCGTGAGGGAAGTTGATCGGCAGACAGGCCATGTGGCTGTCACACCGCCTCCACCTCTTTCCAGGCAGCCCAGATCCTTCCCAGCCTCCACCCCCACATCCAGACGCCTCCCCAGCATTCAGGGCCACCAGCCACCTGTCTGAGCCTGCACCCCAGCCTGCTATGTGCAGGCTCTTTGCTCTGCTTGCTCCCCACCCTGTCTCCAGGGACACACGCTGGGTGTTCAGGCAAGCAAAGCAGTGCCAAGGCTCTCTCTGGCTCACATGTGGGTGGCACTGGCTGGCCTCTGAGCCTCTCTGACCACTGGAAGCCACAACCTGGACCGTTTCACAGGCCATGCCTTCAGAAACAAGCACATCCTGTCCCAGCCCCTTCATTCACCATGAAGGCTGGAAATGGCAGCCAGGAACCCCCCACTGGGATTCCCTGCCTGTAGGGCTCTTATCAATAATTGATTCTGCAGAAGTGAGGTGGAATCACAGCTGGAGGGGGGGGTGCTTGGGAGGAAAAGCTCACACACTCACTCATTCAGAACCCTTGGCCAAGGGCGTCCTGCAGAAATCCCTGCTCCCCACTCCGGGCCTGGGGCTAGTGGCCTGGAGGAGGTGCCCAGCCAGGGACAGTCCAACATAGCACGAGCGAGCAGACAAGAAAGCTGTATTGATCGCCCTTGTTTTCTGATCTTGCCTGCAGCTCCCTGGGGCTGACAGATGACAGAGGGTGATGACTGATGACAGATGGGGGCCCATGGCCTCATCCTGCTTGAAGAGATCCCTCCTCTGGCCTCCAGGCCCCAAAGTGGGTGGGGATAAGGGTACAGACAGGGGAAGGAATGAGCAGGAAAAGGCCCAGATATTCAGGTTGGTCTCAGGTAGAAAGGTCTTCAGGCAAACCCTGCTGTCTTTATAATGCCATATCTGACGATCTCGCCTGATGGCACAGTGGTTGGGAGCACCAACTTGGGACTTGGGCAGTGCCACCGATTGCTGTGTGACTGAGGGGTCACTGTTCTTCTCTGAGCCCTTTTCTCTGCCTCCTGCCAGGATGATAGCTGTGAGGTGGGGAAACAGGCCATAGCCATGGAGCCCCTAGCCCCAGGCTGGGCAGCTGGTGGGGGGTGGGTGGATGGAAGCCACTCTTATGGGCAGTGCCACTGCGCCCACCCATGCAGTGCCTTTGCATTAGCTAGAAAAAGGTACCCACGCACTTCCTTAAAGAGTTAAACATAGAGTTGCCATATGATCCAGAAATCCCATTCCTAGGAATATTCACCAAAGAATTGAAAACAAGGACTCAAACGAGTACATGCACACACATGTTCAGAGCAGCATTATTTATACTAGTCAAATGTCCACAACGGGTGAATGAGTAAACAGAACATGGTCCACTGGTACAATGGAATATCATTCAGTCTTTAAAAGGGATGAAGTACTGACACACGCTGCAATGTGGTTGAACCTTGAAAACCCTACGCTGTATGAAAGAAGCCAAATATATGACAAAAGGTCATATATTATTTGAATCCACGAATATGAAATGTCCAGAATAGGTAAATCTGTACAGACAGAAAGGAAATTAGTGGTTGTCAGGGGCTGGAAGGAGGGAAGAATGAGGAGCCACTGCTTAGTGGGTGTAGGGTTTCCTTTTGGGTTTTGGGGTGATGAGAAAAGTATATACGGGGTGGGGGCGGAGGGCGAGGGAGAGAGAGAATCCCAAGCAGGCTCCACACCCAGTGCAGAGCCTAACACAGGGTTCAGTCACATGACCCTGAGATCAGGATCTGAGCCAAGACCAAGAGTTAGACGTTCAATTGACGGAGCCACCCAGGTGCCCGGTGATGAAAATATTTTTGAACTAGATACAAGCTGTATGGTTGCACGACATTGTGAATATATTAAATCTCTGAACCGTCCGCTTCAAAATGGTTAATTTTGCCATGTGAATTTCACCTCAATTTAAAAATAGAACTTCTTGCTCAAGGCATTTGATATCATTATATTAGAAAACTGCTGTCATAAACGGATTTTGTGAGAAAAGACACCTTTTTACAATTGCTGTCATCACCAATATTCATATCTATCAGGTCTAAGCTGGGAACCATGCCCCCTTTGATGTGTGCCCTTGTGCAGTGTACATCCTGCCTAACTGTAGCTGGCAGACCTGCTCAGGAAGTCCCCAAGGGCAGGGGTGGCCAGTCCATTTCACAATGAACAAATGGAAATTTCCTACTTTCACATTAGTGGGGCCTTCTGACTTCTGAATGACACAAAGAACATAGGCTGTGGAGCTGGAAGATGGTCTCAAGCCTGCTCACACCTGAGGGCTGGGTGCTGTGCAAACTTGTCTTCATCTGAGGAGTCAGGTGAATCCCTGGGCTTATGGGAACATTAAAATAGATGCTAGAAAAATGCTCCTCCTTACTCCTTAGTGAGCAGGACCAGGGGCTGCTGCTTCCACCCAGGCTGGGGACCCAAGGGCTGACTTAGCTAATCCTCCATGATTTATGTTTTTTTAATATAATGGATTTATTAAGATATAATTTACATACACACAATTCACCCATTTCAAGTGTATAATTGGATAGTTTTTAGCATATTCACAAAGTTGGGCAAAAATCACCACTGTCAAGTTCTAGGACATTTCTAAAAAGGAACACAATGACCTTTAACCGTCACTCCCCATTTCTCCTACTCCCTTATCCCTGGCAACCACCAACCTACTTTCTATTTCTGTAGATTAGCCTATTCTGGACATTTCATGTAAATAGAATCATACAATATCTGGACTTTTATGATAGGCTTCTTTCACTTAGCAGAAGTTTTTCAAGGTTCACGCATGTTGTAGTATGGGCACTGCATTTCTTTTTTAAGGCCAAATAATGTTCCATCGTATGGATGCATCACATTCTGAGTAACAATTCATTCGCTGATGGATGTTGGGTTGTTTCCACCATCAGTTTTAACACATTGGAAGTTCTACATTCTGTCTACAGAGGGGACTGTTGGGTCCCAGCCTCTTTCAGCAAAGGGAAAGGGCAGCCTTGGGGAGGGATTTGCCAACATCTCCTTCTAGATTCAGGGATGGCTGAGGGTGCCTGAGAGAGAGAGAGTGTGTGTGTGTTTGATTTTTTTAAAACACCATAAATGTTTTGTGTGTGTTTGATTTTTAAATAAATTACAGAGCCACAGAATTGTATCCCAGAAAATGAAGGAAATTGAGGGGAGACATTACCAGTAATCCTATTTCTCTGTCCCACTTCGGTTCTCAGATGAAAAAGAAAACCAGTATCTATTGGAAATGATGGAAATGTCTGTTATCTGATTGTGGTGATGGCTTCACAGGTGTGTTATACATGTCTACACTCATCAAACTGCACACTTTGAACATGTATAGTATATTGCACATCAATTAAATCTGTAAACTTCAATAAAGCTGTAAAAAATTTTAAAAATAACATCTATTTTTTTCATTACAAAAGATAGGCATTTTCATTATGAGACATTCAGAAAAGCATAATGATGAAGAAAATAAATGTAATTTGCTACTCAGGGCTTTGGAGCCCCTGGTGAAGTCCCCTCCACCTGCTGAACCCCTTGAAAGGGTCTGTGGGACCAGCATCAGCTTCCAGCCTGTGTGGCCAGGCCCTGGGGCCCACTTTGGCTCTGCTGGCCTCATGGTGCCAAACCCAACGTCCTTCCACCTGAGGACTCAGCTGCCATTCACAGGGATCCTGCCCTCCTCATGCAGGATGCCTCCCTCGGGATTCTTGGGTCCCTGTCACTTCCCTGGAGAGTGCTTCTCGGTCTCTCTGCCTCTGTTTCCTTCCTAGTCCGGCTCCTAACCCTTCCTCACCTAGTCCCCTTGGGCAGCCGGGGAGAGTCTTCAGCCCTATGGCCATAAACACTAGCTGTTCACTAACAACACTCCCATTTCTATCCCTGACCTTGACGGTTCCTTGGTACCCCAGAACCAACCACTCTCTCTCCACTTGACTCCTCTCTGTACCTCTTCAGGTACCTGAAGCCTCCTCACATGGGGACTCCAGTTTCCCGATCATAATCAACAACCCACTGTCTACGTCATAGCTGGTCCTTCTTCCCTCCACATCCGATCCATCTTTAAGTCCAGAACCAACCTGGAACTTGACCCCCTCTCTCTGTTGCCTTGCTTCCCCCTTTGTCTGGTTCTGGGTCACCAGCACCTTTCATCTGGGCCAGCAGCACAGCTCCTGTCCACTTACCCTGCTCCGGCCCCCTACCTCCCACCTGTCCACAAAACAAATCTGAGCCAGTCCCTCCACAGCTTATGGCAGATACTGTGGCTATTTGAATTCGAATTCATTCAAGTTGAAGTAAACTAAGTTGTATTTATTTATTTATTGTTAAAAGATTTTATTTTTAAGTAATTCCTACACCCAACATGGGGTTGGAACCCACAACCCCAAGAACAAGAGTTGCATGCTCCACTGACTGAGCCAGCCAGGCTCCCCCAAACCAAGTTATATTTATTATTATTTTTAAAAGATTTTTTGGCAGCCCCAGTGGCACAGCGGTTTGGCGCCGCCTGCAGCCTAGGGTGTGAATCTGGAGACCCAGGATCGAGTCCCACATCGGGCTCCCTGCATGGAGCCTGCTTCTCCCTCTGCCTGTGTCTCTGCCTCTCTCTTTCTGTGTCTATGAATAAATAAATAAAATCTTTTAAAAAATATTTTATTTATTCATTCATGAGAGACAGAGAGAGAGACAGAGAGGCAGAGACACAGGCAGTGGGAAAAGCAGGCTCCATGCTGGAAGCCCGACATAAGACTTGATCCTGGGTCCCCAGGATCAGGCCCTGGGCCAAAGGTGGCGCTAAACTGCTGAGCCACCCAGGCTGCCCCCAAACCAAGTTTTAAATCAAAATAGGTATTTCCACGGGATGCGTGGGTGGCTCAGTGATTTAGAGTCTGCCTTCGGCTCAGGGCGTGATCCCAGGGTCCTCGGATTGAGTTCCATATTGGGCTCCCCACAGGGAGCTTGCTTCTCCCTCTGCCTATGTTTGCCTCTCTCTGTGTGTCTCTCATGAATGAATAAATAAAATCTTTTTTAAAAAATAGATTTTCCAGTTCTCAGGTGTAGTAACTACATCTTGAGTGCCTAGGAGTCTCATGAGGAAGCTAAATGGCTGCTGTATTGTTCAGTGCAGAGTGTAGAACATGTTCATCATGGTGGAGAGTTCTAGTCATGTGCAAGTTCAGAACCTTCCAGAGGCTTTTCTTTGCATTTAGAATACAACCCAAACTTCTTACAAACCTTCTTACAAGGCCCTGCCTTGCCTCTGATGTCACCTCCTGCCACCCACACCAGCTTCGTCTCCTAACCCAACTGTGCCTCAAACATACCTAGAATTTTGAAAGTCTCCCTGTCTTTGCCTTTCTGCTCCTCATCCTTAGGACCAGCTCAGATATCACCTCTCCTGGCAGGCTATCCCCAGACCTCTGCCCCCTCCTGGATCCCTGCACAGCACACACACCCCTGCCATGCATGGCCTGGCTCTGCCTGACTTATCCCTTCCTCCCCCACTCATGTCCCATCTTTCTCTCTGGGTTGTGTTCTCCTCTGGGCTGCACACGTCAGAGTCTTCTTTCAGCCAGCACTGGCTGAGCATCTACTATGTGCTGAGCACTGGGGAACATGACAGACAGATGCCCATCCTTGGGAGTTTAGATCTAGCTAGGGACAGATACCTAATGGGGGATTATGAGTGTTATGTATCTGGGCCCCATGTTTTTCTCATTCCTTCTTCTCTGGGGAAGGGAGGGATGATCAGAAAGCTCTACAGGAAAAGACTAGAGCCCCAGGGTGGGAGTGTTTTTAGGAAAGGACTGAGGATGAGAGGAGTGTCTTTGCGGCCAGAGGAAGCTATCTCATGGGGGCAGATAGCCACTATCCCCTGGTTTCTGAATTAATTTCACTCATGTGTACGATATTTGAGGTGGGGCCTGCAAACCAGAGAAAAGGGCACCTCACTGATGGATGAAACGCCCCACCCAAAGTATCCTTTTCTTTCCCAGATGATTAATGATAATGTTCCAGATGAGCCCACAATTCCCTGTCCTGGAAGCAGAGGGGCTCCATCAGCAAGGCAAAAAAAAAAAAAAAAAAAAAAAAAAGCAGTATGTGCTTTTGGAATTCTCTCTGGAGACAAGCAGAGAATGGGATTCTGGAAGCCTGCCTGACCAAACCCACTGTGTTGACCTGAGCAAGCCATGTGAGGGAGACAGTTAATATTGATCGCAAGCCGCTATTTGCCATACCCTGTAAGGTCAGGACTTACGCCCATTGTAAAGAAAAGGTTGCTGAGGCTGTGCAAATAGCTGGGATTACAGCCTCACCTGTCCAGCCCCAAAGTCAGGGCATCAACTCATTCTGTTTCTTCGCCTGCCAAACAGGGCTTACAGGGGGCCTTGTCTGCCTTAGGGGGGGATCTCAACGTAAAGGAGCTGGTTTAGAGGGGCCACGGGGCCTCACGGGGAGGGGAGAGAGCAGGAGGGTGGAGAGGCCTGCAGAGGGCGGCAGTGAGTCGTGCCTGGAAGTGTCTGGCCCACGGGGCCCAAGAGCTTTCCCTGGACACTCCCAGGGCACCTCCCAGAGCACTAATCTTAACAAGCAGTCAAGGAAGGAGCACCACATGCCATGTACTGGAGTGTGTTTCAAGTTTGCCCAACTGGGTGCTTTACACATGGTGCTCCCATTTTACATACAAGGGCCAAACTGGAGGCTCAGAGAAGGGAAGGGAACTGTCCAGGTCACAAAACCTGGAGTGGGTAAGACCTGATCGGGAGCCAGGCTGGCCCGGCTGATAGCCCTGGGCTCTGTTTCTTCTACATTAGATGCTGGGGCATCTGTTCCGGGTGGCACTGGACCTGGGGAGGGGGCCAAGATAACCCCTCACATTCACCAAGGGTCAACAGCCCTTGGAGACTGGTATCCTTGTTCCCGTTTCCAGGCCAAAGGAAACTGAGGCACAGAGGCAGAGGTGGTCAGGACTCAGGCCCAGTTCTTTGGTTGACTAATCCTGTTTCTTGTTTCTTCACTCAGCAGGCCGGTTTGGGTATTTTCACCTGGTGCCCACCAGACACCCTGAAGTGTGCTCTCTGCTGTGTGTCCAGGATCTCTGGGCTTCCCTGGGGTCCAAGCGATGATTTGGGTTCCCTGCCAGCCCTGGGCTGTCCTCTCTTCCCCTGATCCTGAGGGTTCTGGTGGAGACTGGAGACCCCCTTAGGGGGGAGACTAAACCTAAGTTCCGAGTCAGGCAATCCGGGGAAAAAAACGAGGCTGGCCTCTGAAGCCCGGGAGAGGCCAGGCGGCAAACACACAGCTCAGGACCACAGGGAGGGCGGGCGATGTGCGTGTCCGGTGAGCTACGGGGAGAAATTCCTGCTCATCAGCGCTGCGACCAGGCCCTATGGCAGCTGTTGCATCACGCACCCCAAGACCACAGGGCGCTGCTGGCTTTGGCTCCCTGCCTCCCCCGGACCGCCCGCTCCTCCGGGTCCCGCGTGCGGCTCCCAGACAGCTCAGCCCCGACGCTGCGGAGCGGCCGCCGGGCTGCGGAGAAGTGAGGATCCAGGTGTTCCTGTCCCCAAAGTGCACGAGTCGCCGGGGCCTCCGCGCGGCCGGCCGGGCTCGCCACCGCCGGGGGCACTGAGCTTCCCCGCGCGCGGAGGCCCAGGCGGGGCGGCGGCCGGGAGGGGGCGCGGCCTCTCGGCGCCCCCCGCCCCGCCCCCGCCCGGAGCCCTCCGCGCGGCCCCTTTAAGAGGCCCGCCCGGCTCCGGCAGCCGCGCCGCGGCCACCGCCCCCCGGCCCTCCCCTTCCTGCGGCGCCGAGTGCGGGCCGGGCGGGAGCGCGGCGAGAGCGGCCCGGGCGAGCGCAGCGGCGGGGAGGCGGCGGCCGGGCCGGGCCGGGCCGGGGCGCGGCGCGGCGCGGGAGCGAGAGCCGAGGACGCGCGGCGGCGGCCGTGGGGGGCGCGGCGCAGGGCCGAGGGGGGGCAGCGCGGGCGCCGCGCCGGGAAGCCCGCACACAATAGCGGCGCGCGCAGCCCCTCCCCCCGCCCCCGCCCCCGCGCAGCCCCCCGCGCAGCCCCGCGCCCCGCCCCCGCCCCCGCGCAGCCCCCCGCGCAGCCCCGCGCCCCGCCCCCGCCCCCGCGCAGCCCCCCGCGCAGCCCCGCGCCCCGCCCCCGCGCAGCCCCGCGCCCCGCCCCGCGCCGCCCCGGGGAGCCCAGCCGGCCGCCGCCTCACCTGCCGCCCGGGAGGGGGCGGGCATTGTTCGGCCGCCGCGCGGGGCCATGGGGGCCGCCCGGAGCCCCGGGCCGGGCCTGGAGAGGTCGGCGCTCCGCCGCTGAGGCGGGCCCCGCGCGCAGCCGGGCGGCGCAGGTGAGGCCGGCCGCGCCATGGTGGACCCCGTGGGCTTCGCCGAGGCGTGGAAGGCGCAGTTCCCGGACTCCGAGCCGCCGCGCATGGAGCTGCGCTCGGTGGGCGACATCGAGCAAGAGCTGGAGCGCTGCAAGGCCTCCATCCGGCGCCTGGAGCAGGAGGTGAACCAGGAGCGCTTCCGCATGATCTACCTGCAGACGCTGCTGGCCAAGGAGAAGAAGAGCTACGACCGGCAGCGCTGGGGCTTCCGCCGCGCCGCGCAGCCCCCCGACGGCGCCGCCGAGCCCCGCGCGCCCGCGCCGCGCCCGCCGCCCGCGCCCGCGCCCCCGCCCGCGCCCCCGCCCGCGCCCGCGCCCGCCGACGGCGCCGACCCGCCGCCCGCGGAGGAGCCCGAGCCCCGGCCCGACGGAGAGGGCTCCCCGAGCAAGGCCCGGCCCGCGGCCGCCCGCAGGCCCGCGGACCGCGAGGAGCGCGGCGCCCCCACCAGCGTGGCCGCGCTCAGGTCCAACTTTGAGAGGATCCGCAAGGGCCACGGCCCGCCCGGGGCGGCGGACCCCGAGAAGCCCTTCTACGTGAACGTCGAGTTCCACCACGAGCGCGGCCTGGTGAAGGTCAACGACAAAGACGTGTCGGACCGGATCAGCTCCCTGGGCAGCCAGGCCATGCAGATGGAGCGCAAGAAGTCCCAGCTCGGCGCCGGGCCCGGCCTGGCCGACGCGCCCAGGCCCTCGTCCCGGGGCCGCTCCTCCGAGAGCAGCTGCGGCCTCGACGTCGACTACGAGGACGCGGAGCTGAACCCCCGCTTCCTGAAGGACAACCTCATCAACGCCAACGCCAACGGCGGCGGCAGGCCCCCTTGGCCGCCCCTGGAGTACCAGCCCTACCAGAGCATCTACGTCGGGGGTATGATGGTGGAAGCGGACGGCAAGGGCCCACTCCTGCGCAGCCAGAGCACCTCGGAGCAGGAGAAGCGCCTTACCTGGCCCCGCAGGTCCTACTCCCCTCGGAGCTTTGAGGACAGCGGAGGCGGCTACACCCCGGACTGCAGCTCCAACGAGAACCTCACCTCCAGCGAGGAGGACTTCTCCTCGGGCCAGTCTAGCCGCGTGTCCCCCAGCCCTACCACCTACCGCATGTTTCGAGACAAAAGCCGCTCCCCGTCGCAGAACTCCCAGCAGTCCTTCGACAGCAGCAGCCCCCCGACGCCGCAGTGCCATAAGCGGCACCGGCAGGGCCAGGTCATCGTGGCCGAGGCCACCATCGTGGGCGTCCGCAAGACGGGGCAGATCTGGCCCAGCGACGGGGACAGCTTGTCGGGCAGGCTGCCTCAGGATGGCACCTTCCATGGAGACGCAGGTGGGTACCTGCACCACCTTGGGTGGGCACACCTGCACCCTGGCTGGAAACCATTGCAAGGGAAGAGGGTGCGTTAAGCAGGGGAGAAATGGGTAGATACTTTGTGGACCGATTTCCACCTGCTGCTGTGGACAGCAAGGATTCGCGGTGAATCCTGCACGTGAACAAATGCCATCCTCCACTTCCTCCTGAATGCAGGTTCCCAGGGTTTGGCCTGGGATTGATTGGGTTGGGAGGGGCAGCGTGTGGGAATGGTAGGTGGCTGTTCCTTTGGTTCTAGAGTGGTGTGCGTCTCGTGAGACTACTCTGTGGGTTGGGACCAGGTGCCCCGGGCAGTGATCTTGCCCCTTGATCACTGCACTCTGGGTAGGCGGTGGGTCATGGTATTGAGAGGTGGCCATCTCTGTCTTCCAGATTGGGTACTTTTAGTGGGGCTTGATCTGTGTCTTGGGAATTCCCTGCCACCCCAACTGTTCCTGTCCTGGAAGAGTTACAAGACACTTCTGGGGAACCCAAGATGTGCTAGCTTGCTCCCAGGCCATTGGAGTGTCAGATTTGCTTGCTGACTAGCAGCCCGAATGCAAGTCAGGGCAGGTGAAAATAGGAATTACGAGGAAGTGAGGTGACAGGCAGTTCTGACTCAGTGGACCACTGCACATCAACGGGGGTGAAGATTTTATCCAGGGCTGAAGCAGAGCCACACCTGTTCTGATTTGCTTGGCTCTGATGGGAGACATCACCTATCATTACTCATCTATAGGGCTCCTGTGTGTATCTTACTCCAGCTCCATTTTTTTTCTTTCTTTTTTAAGATTTTATTTATTTATTCATGGGAGACGCACACACACAGAAAGAGAGAGAGAGAGAGGCAGAGACACAGGCAGAGGGAGAAGCAGGCTCTATGCAGGGAGGCAGGGAGCCCGACGTGGGACTAGATCCCGGGTCTCCAGGATCATGCCCTGGGCCGAAGGCGGTGCTAAACCACTCAGCCACCCAGGCTGCCCCCAGCTCCATTTCCTGATCCTTTCGTCCACTCTTGCCTCCCTGTCTTCCCAAGGATGAATTGTACACTGGTGCTCATCTTGGCCTTCTAATCCATGGTCTGACCTTTGGCCCTAAGATGAAACCTGTGAGATCGTGCACGTGACCTCTGGGGTGATGGGACTGAGTTTTGAGGTCCAGGCACAGTTTGTAAGACTGGAGTAAGAAGCAGGTGGGTAGGTGTGGGATTTGGGTGGGCTGAGGGTTGTGAGGCTGTGGGGAATCTCTTGGAGTCCTGGTCCCTATTAGGCTGATCCGATTTTCTGCTCCATCGATTTTTCTTTTTCTGCTGATGGAGTTGTATGTATGTGCTTCCATCGTCAGAATCCTCCTGAAACAAGGAAAGCTATTTTTGGCTCTGTCAAGTGGTCTTTTTGTGATCAGCTCTGTCCTGTTCATTTTAGGTGCATCCAGTTGCTGATCTTCCAGTTGCAGCTGGGGGAGGCTGTGGCCTGTCACTAAGACCTGTGGCCTGACCCAGCTGCATCCCTTAGGTCCCTCCCTGGGGGGTGGAAGGCTGTAGTATTTAGAGGCCTGCTTTGCAGGCACATCAGCTCCCCTGGGGTCTGGAGGATTGCCCTGTGGTCACTGGGCACCAGCCTTGTCGGACCAGCTGTCGACTGAGTGAGCCAGCTTGAACTGGCCTTCAGCGCCAAGATGCAGGAGAACATTATTAATAAAGAAAATAAGAGGTTTTCATGGAGACCTGCAATCTGAAATGGTATTCTCTTGCTGATGGTGAATTCTGAGTTTCCAGAAAGCGGGGACAGGTTGGACGGAATGTGTTTCAGTAGGTCGACCTTCGGTACCTCTTCCCTTCTCATCAGCTGCTGCAGACGTGGGACCCTGGTTCTGTGTGTAGCCCAGGACAGGTTCTCAGGAAATGGCCAAGGGGTTAATTTTACAGCTTAAACCTCACTCTTAGGATATTCTGGATCTTTCCCTGAATGTCTTCAACACCCTGTGTTCTCTCTCCTGTAGGTTTTAAAACTGTTTTTTTTTTTTTTTTTTTTTTTTTTTTTAGCTCTAGGAGCTTTTAACTCTACTCAGCACTCTTCTGAGCATTGTGGCTGGAGGGGAAGGAGAGAGCCTGTGCTAGCAAAGCCATCTGTCTCTTTCCAGACTACTTCCTGATGTTCTTTAGATGGCCGTGGGGCCTGCTGGCCAGGGCTGTACCCTGCAGAGGACCAGTGAGGAAAATCACAGCGTGGAAGGGAGTAGAAGCACCCTAATTTTTCACAGCAGCAGAATCATAACTTCAGAATCCCTTTGGCTGAATGTGCTCTTGTATTTTTGAGTTGAGGGCCCCTGGTGTTGGAGGGAAGAAGCTGAAATGACGACCTACCACTGTGTGCCAGGCATGGTGACAATGTGCCTCATGCAGGGCCCCTCGCAGGCTCTTACATCACCTTGCGGTAGGTCTGCCCAACTGTAGGTAAGGACAAAACCAGGAAGTGGCAGAGCTGGGATTCCAGGAGTTCCGGGTCCCTGTGGGAATGCAGATCCGTTCCTTCCTGAACCTGGCCACCGTAGGGTGGGTGGTCTTTGAATCGCCCTACACCGCACCTGAGAATCATGATGAGATTGGTCCGGGGGTCCTTCCTCTCCACACAGTCAGGGTCGGTCAGCTGTGAGCCCTGCTCTGTGCAAGCCCTTCCCTTTCTGCCTTGCAGGCTACATGGAAGGAAAGTATAGTCCTTGCCATCTGGGAGCTGACATGCTAATGGGAGATAGGAACACACACACTATTTATGTGTTCAGAGGGAGTGAGATCAGGGAAGCTTCTGGAAGCAGCAGCACTGGAGAGAGGCCTTGCCTGTCAGCACATGTCTAGCGGCAGAGGGTGGGGAAAGCTGACCGCCCTGAGGAGCAGTGGGAGCAAAGGCTCTGGGGCACCCATGTAAGCCTCCTATGACTCTAAACTATATATATATATATATTTTTTTTACTTCAATTAAATATTTGTAACAAAATTTACCATCTTAACCCATCTGAGCGGTGTTTAAGTGTCAAGTTCGTTGGCATCAGGCACATTCGCATTGTTGTGCACCCATCAGCACCACCCATCTCCAGAACTCTTTTCCTTTTCCCCAGCTAAAACTGTTTCTACCAAATGACAGCTCCCCATTTCCCCTCTTTGAGCTCCTGAAAACCAGCACTGTGCTTTCTGTTTCTATGATTCGACTGCTCTTAGTACCTCATATAAACAGAGTCCTACAGGATCTGTCCATCTACATCTGGCTTATTTCACTTAGTGTCATCTCCCCAATGTTTATCCACACGGTAGCACAGAGTGTATGGTTTTTTTTTTGTTGTTTTTTTTTGTTTTTTTTTTTTTTTTTTCAGAGTGTATGTTTGAAGGCAGGGATCCCTGGTTCATTTCCGGGTCTCCCAGGGAGCCTGGCTCCAAGCTGAACACATAGCATGTACTAGATGATTCCCTTCCTCCTTTTCACAGCTCTAGGGGTGAGTTGGGGAGTTGAGAAGCTGGGAAGGTGTGCCAGTCATTGGGAAGCATCTTACCTGCTCTACCTATCTCTGACTCCATTCCTGTTCTTGGGTTTTGCTTTCTGAGAGTTTTGGTGAGCTCTTCACAAGAGAAACCAGACAACCCAAGAACCTTCACTCTTTTAGGTCTGAGGAATTTTTTTTTTTTAAGATTTTAAAATTATTTTTAAGTAATCTTGGCACCCAATGTGGAGCTCGAATCACAACCCTGAGATCAAGAGTTGCAGGCTCTAACGCCTGAGCCAACCAGGTGCCCCACGGGTCTGAGGAATACTTGATCTGAACACTCAGTCCCCGTGTCCCTTGGCCCCTTTCCAAGTATTAGTCGTGAGTCCTGACCCCAGATCTTGTGCTTCTTTATGGGTTCTCAGATGAGTTGCTGCCCTATGTTTTTACATCTCTATTAAGCAGTTTAATTTGCCCTTTGGATTCTGGCAGTGTGTTGTCACCAGAATGATCACTGCTTTGTTTCTCCGTAGGGGGATTGAGTGGACTGGCCACCAGTTAGATTGAGTAATTCTGGGCCAGGAAAAGGTCACTCAGGCCTTGCATTGGCTTGATCATCATCTCTTTAAATCAGACCCTGTGATCACCCTTCAACTAAGTACAGGCTTCTCTCCATGAACAGAGACAGAGTGGACAGAACAAGCTAGGTGGAGTCTAAGACTGCTAAGTCATCAACAAGGTGGAAACAGAGTCTGGTTCAAATTTTACAAGAGTTTTCTGATTACAGAATGGATGGCTTCCTCGTTTTGGGAACAGAGTGAAATATTCTGGAATGTTTCACTAAAAGAGCTAACTGGGAGTGCTGTTAATTTGTGTGGGTCCAGGGGATATGCCTTCTGGGTTCAGGGCCACCTGCCCTCCTTGGCTGGGAGTCCTGTGGCCCTGTGTGTGTGACTGTGGCCCTCACTAGGATAGAGCATCCAGGTGAGCCATATGCTCGGCCCAGTTGGGAGAAGACATAGCAGTGCTTGAGGCCACGCTGCAGCTCACCGCTGTGGTTCGAAGGGCTTCCTTATGCACAGTAAATGGATGGGCATCTTCCATCTTCAGGTTGTCAAACCTGAAGTTTCAACTGCAGCTGCCTTTTTTTCTCCCCAGACTTATTTATTTTGGGAAGGAGCAGAGGGAGAGAGAATCTCAAGCAGATTCCCTGGTGAGCGGCGAGCCCAACACGGGGCTTGTTCCCACAACACTGAGATCATGATCTGGACTGAAACCAAGAGTGAGACACTTAACTGACTGTACCATGCAGGCGCCCTTGTGGCTGCTTTTAGATCAAGGTTCAAGAGGTGGCGGTGGTGGGTTTAATTAATTGGTCCCACCGAGGGTCCCTCACCCTGACTAGAATACAATCATGTAGGGTTTTGTTTTGAGTTTTTTGTTTTTAGTGTTTTTGTTGTTTTTGTTTTGTTTTTTACTTTGAAAGCAATGGAGTAAACCAAGTT